CCGGCACAGTCCGTCCACTAGCATAGTTAATCGTGTTAGTTTCGTCCTTTACGCAAATTAAATTTAATTACAGGGTAAACTTTAAAACTCATTTCACTTCCCGAAGGTTTGAAGGCTATTTAAGCCGCTTGTTTGCTTGTCAAACGAGTTTTTATTGTAATTTGACAGAATTGCAATGTCAGTGGAAAATAATTAGGGAAACATAGAGAAAATGTAAACAACAAATGATGGTAATGCAATAAAACGTATTAAGAGATCATATTTCAGAGTCTTCTCAAAGGACAGTAAATGAGATTATGTGGAACAAATTTATGACTTACATATAATGTACAAAGATATCCACGAAACGAACATTTCCACGGCGAAATATCTAAGGTCATTAAGTATTTTTGGTAGATGATGTTCAAAGTCTAATATTCTACAGGCAAAGGTATCTAATTTATCAGGTATATAATATTCTTACATCTTACAGTTAAACTATAAATGAACACTTTTACTGTAATAAACGACGTTAGAATTTTAAACAATATTCGAAACTGAAGTACTGATATCGAATCATTGTCTAAATTTAAATTTTTTTTAATTTGATAAAAAAAAATGTTTAGTAAATTTAAAAGAGAAAAAATTCATACATTGAACTTGTATTCGGTAATCTATACTATAGGTTCTCCATTGATTATCTCCTGCTTCAATGATGTAATGTTGACCTTGACAGAGAATCACTTGCCTTTTGAATGGAAACATAAAAGCTACAAAAAACGGCGTCGAAAAAAGTTAAGATCGTGAAGTCATTGAAAACTTGCCTCATACTATCCATCCACTTCTGTTAACATCGAAAAAGTTTAAGAAACAGTGCTTGAAAATCGTCGTGTTGGCACCAGAAAAATAGGATCTCAAAATTTTTCATAGATCGACTCATCGCATTTCGGTTAATGTTTTGGGTAAATGAAAGTCAACGCTAGACTCATATTAAAAGAACTGAATCTTTTGAAAAAACGAAGTCGAGTAAAGGTCGCAAAAGAAATACCTGACAAAGTAGCTGAAAACCCTACATTTATCGAATCGGTACTAATGACCAGACATGGGTTTATGAATATAACTTCGAAAATGTATAAGCCGAAACCAAAAAAACAAAATTCGCTGAATTCGTCATCCCAGCCGAGGCAAGTATATAGAAAGATTTGTATAAAAATATGTTAAAATATAGTTTTTTTCAGTGCGGTTCAAATCTGATCACATGGTAGATTGTTTGGATGGGCTATCGAAGGACAATGAACGGAAAAATATGTGTGAATTGTGGGGTTAGGTTAAGAAGACAAAGCAAATATTTAAATAACCACAGAACCAAAGTTTAATTAATCTTGAAACTTGTTACTTCGGGGATGAAATAAAAAATCTATATATTTAATTGCTTTAAATGATAATATTTTCATTTACGGTACAACAATTTCTATTCAAATATATTTTTATCTATAAAAACTTTAATAGTCGTTGTAGCTGGCGCCATTGGCATGCTATGCAGGTGGGTATTAACATACCTATGGTTTGTACTTAGGTGTGTCTGTCTTTTTAGATGCAATTGGCAACGTATCATCCTCATATACAATATAAACGCACACATATTTACATACATACATCAAACTGCGGCAGCTGCAAGGCAAGTGTTTAGTTTTTCACATTAGAGCGATGTCAAGTACAACAGAAAGGCAGCATGTAGCGACGGGCGGCCGGCCGGCAAAACAACATTCACCTGCAACCTTTAATGCGAAAACACACACGAGCACGCATGCTCACATACATACATATTTATGGTACACACAGAAACACAAACAAAAATTAATTGAAGAAAAATCTGCCGTTTTTGCTTCGCAACAGCTTGTAAGGCTCGACAATTGGTTAGCAGGTGGAACTGCCATGAACGCCATCACACCATTCTTCAGCGCATTTGCTGTTGTTGGTTTCTACTGTTCGCATTTTCCCTATTAGCAATCATCAATCGGTAAACAACGAGGCATACACTTCTAAAAGGAAGAAGAGGTGAAAGAACCACTACACGAAGATAAGAACAGGTGAAAACTACAAAAAAAAACTTTAGAATCTTACAAAAAAATAACATTAAAAACTTAACAGTAATAAACTGGCACTGCAGCGCTGACACTAAGTCATACACAGTGATTGCAACAACATATGTAGATATGCAATACATAAGAACATATCTACATATGTGTGTACATACATACATATAGATGCATGCGCGCATATTAGTTTTGCCACCGAACAGTTTTTATTACCACTTCAGTTTACAGCTCAGTCAATGCTTTGCAAGTTAATGGCTACACTTTTTTTGTCGTACTCTAATCATGGTGGTTGTTGTTGCTGTTGCTGTTGTTATGTAGCGAGTTAGTTAACTTGGTCTCTAAGTCAGTTGGACAAATCGCCAGCAAATGGTTAACTGTTTGCCTGACCAACAAACAAAAACACTAGGCAAGACAGCCACAACCACAACCACGACTGCCAGCCGGGCAGCCAGCTAGCTAACCAAGCATTGATGGCTCATGCGAACGCAAAGCGGCAACTTGCTCAACATATGGGTGCGCATGCGCATTACTTGGAAGACACTTTAACCGCCGCAACTGTTGGTTGTTAATTTTGTTGTTGTTGATGTTTTTGTTTTTTTCATATTAATGCTGCTATTGCAACGCAATGTTGCTGCTGTTGAGGCAACAAAAAGTGAATGTGATTTTTTAACGCCTTTTAGTTTCAGTTTCGATTTCTATGCTTAGTTTCGCTTTTATTTTGCTCAGTCACACTTTCGGCCGCCAAGCCAGTCAGCCAGCCAGCAGGCCAGTTGGTAGTCATTCACTTCATAAGCTAATATTCAGTTGTTTGTAACGTTTGTATTGCTTTGCTTGCACTTATACAACTAACCGGACACTAGCACTCAATGAGCTATCAGCGAAACAAGTTGTCTTACAACAACAAATACAACAGAGAACAGTTAACTGGATTGGAGACTAGAGTTTGGGTGGCCACCTTGGGAAATTATGGCATATTTACAACAAGAACAGCGCAGATAAATGAATGCTTTTGTTTGGCGCTATTACGCTTCGACATATTTAAAATGTACATGCATGTATGTATGTATGGTACAAGGCAATGTTATTTTTACACCCTCAACTGGGTATATTAATTTTGACACGAAGTTTGGAACACCCAGAAGGAGACGTCGCAGACCCTATAAAAAGATATATACCTATAAATGATCAGCATGATGAGCTGAGTCGATTCAGCCATGTCCGTCTGTATATCTGTGCGTTTATACGCGAACTCATCTCAAATTTTTGCACAAGTCCTTTTCTCACCAAGAAGCTCTTCATTTGAATTCTGCCGAGTTGTTGTTGTTGTTATAACGATTATCTAATCCCCGTTTGGGTGATAAATTCTAGATTCGTTGTCGTCGAGGTCATCTAACGGAAGGCCCAGGAAACGAGCTGTTTCGACGGGGTCGGACCATAGGGAGAGGGGTGTTAGATGAGTGGGGTTTGTTGGGCATGCAAAGAGGTGGTTAGTGTCATGCGGAGACTCATTGCATGCAGGACATGTGTTTGGTATGTCAGGGTCTATTCTGGATAGGTAGGAGTTTAACCTGCTACAGTATCCAGAACGAAGTTGCGCGAGGGTCACTCTAGATTCGCGAGGCAACTCGAGCTCTGTGTCTGCAATGGGTGGTGGTTTCTGCCGAGTTGACAGTCCTTGGTCGGATCAAAATCCGGGTCCGTTCTGGTTACGTTGCCCCGACTGTCGTGGCAACAGACATGGATGTATTATTGTCCAAGGCAACAATGAAATCTGCGAAAAAATTGTTCAGATTGGACTGCTATAACAAATAGCTGTCATACAAACTGACCGGTCAAAATCAATTGTGAAGAGTATTATAGCTTCGGTTTTTTTTTTCGTTTTCAATTTCTTTTGTTGAACTAATTTTTACACCTTTTGGTAGCGAGTTGTCTTTGAACTTTATTTCGTACGATAAATAGTATTTGGAAATTGTATTTAAATCCCATGATCTTTAGTGTTATTTGACCTATCTCATAACCTCTAACTTGCGTTGCATGTGTAGGTGAGAATGTTAAAAAAAAAAATAACAACAAAAGCAACTGTATAATTTGTTTTCAAATACTGCGCATGGTCTCGATCAAATAAAATTAAGCAGTTAACCTTAAAAAAAAATATAAAAAAATAAGCATTATTGCAAAAGAGAAAGGAAAATATGTAATATTGTTCACATGTATATGAGCAATATCGTACGTTATTTGAATGCGTTGACTCACCTAAGTAGGAGAGCAACAACAAAACAACGATTAATTAATGCAAACAGGTCTAGGTAATTAAATAATCTTGGAGTAAATAAGAACTAATTATTGGAATTTCAACAAGTACATACAAAAAAGTTTGTATGTATGTATATTTATTGTATATATCTTGTAATTGAAGTTATTCGAAAATTTCAGATTTTAAAAAATGCAATATAAATGTATGTGTCATTTTGACAACTAGACTATGGAATCAATATATAACCAAAACTACAGTAATGGTGGCCGAATAAACGAATTTGGGTTATTTAAGTTCTAATATTACAAGTTTTTTTAAGTCGGTGCTGCACATAGTAAATTTATTGCCTCATACGATATCCATGCAAGAAAAAATATTAAAAAAAAAAAAAAATATTGTAAAAATAAAAAGGGTGTGGAGTGCGCACATGTAAGCAAACAAATTAAAAAAAAAAAATATGGAATGTAAAGTAAGAATTCAAAAACTCGTTAACTGATTAAAAAGCCATTAAAAATTCAACACGCATATTTTAAAAGAAGAAATATACATTTACAATACAAACACACCCGACTTGTACGCAAATTTAAAAAAAAAAAAAACAATTTATATTAAAAAAAATTATTATAAAAAAAAAAAAAAAAAAAAAAAAGATGTATTTAAAAAATCGTCACGCATAAATGTCGATAATAAAAAGCCATATAAATTCCTAAGCTGATTTCTAATTTATTTATCTTTTTTGTCTTACTTACTTTCGGTTTTTGGTAATTGCTAGCGCGCGTACTTCGAATCTACATATGTAATAGCATTTCTTTGCAATAATACTTTAACTTGACAAGCTTTTTTTCTATTGTTGTTGTAAATTGTACTTTAGCCGACCATTTGGTTAGCGGGCTGTAGCGCAGTTGCTGGTTGGTTTGGCTTGGTTGAGTTGCCGCCACTAATGGTCAACGAACTTCTTTCGAACGCTCGGTTTGGCGCAAAAACAACAAATATTATCAGTGGTTGAAACCCAAAATAAAGAGCACCCACTTGAGCGCCATCATAACCAAATAAAGTAAAAAAAAAAAAAAATATTTGCCTACATTTGCTACTATTTTCTTTTTTAATCTATAAAAATAATGTTAAAAAATAATAAAGGTGTTGGCTGGTTTTGGTTTCGGTGTTGTTGTTGAACGGAGTTTCGAATAAGGCGGCAAGACGAACAACAGCGAGGAGGATAAGGTTGATGGCTTGCTTTCCGCTCGACTGGGCTCGGTGCACAGCGCATTCGTCGTCAGCCAAATAGCACTCCAAGCGGCCAAATACCGACAGAGCGAGGCAAATAAGCCAACAAGCAGCTGCTTTGCTCGTTGGAACTAAACGTGGCTTAATTTAAGCGCTTCATGCGGCACTGCCTTTTATTGTAGTATTGCAAACTTTGTTTTTTTTTTTTTGACTTCACACACTATGCTTTCTGTATCATTATTCTTATTTCATATATACGTTTTTTATTTTGCTAATGGGCTTTTGTAGTCAAGCGTTTCGGAAATCAACAACGTGAAGCAACAAATGAGTTACCGTACATCGGCGGAAAATATTGTGTAAATGTGTGTGTCAATGCAAGGATATGTGTAAGTTTTTGTTCAATTTATGCATTCGCATGTTAGAAAAAATTATATTTTAACTACGTAGCCATTGGTATAGTTGAAAATACTATTTAAATACAAATATTTTCTTGCATTAAACACAATTTGTACTAAACATGTTTTCAGGTCCATCAAGTCTCAAGAAAATAAGGCAACCAATGATTTGCCATTCTCTGGTGAACAACAGATCCTTCATTAAGGATCGACACACATATGTGCTTTGTGAAATCTTTTCTATAGAAGCGATATTGAGTTATATAGTTGACATTTGAATATTTATCACAGAATGAAAATAAAGTATATAAGCAAATTTAAATTTATTATACAATTTGTTTTTGTAACCACAAACTGTTGATTCATTAATAACTTTCACTTTGGCATAAATGAATTTCACCAGAAATGTAGAAATTTTTTCTGTTCAAAAGTATTATTTTTTTTTGTCATTATTTGCCCTTTTTATTGTCATTTAGCATTCTAGCCCCTTTTTATGGCTACTAATATTTGTAAATATGTCATCACATGTGAATATGGATATACAGTTGCGGTTAATGCCCGCTTTGCAAAAGGCCCAACCAAACCGGTAATTCAGTTATACACATATGAGCCGTATACATATAAAACATTAATGCGGATCAATTTTCTAAACAAATAAATATTTATAAATAAACTTAACATAATAAACATAAATTTTCTCTAACAAAATTTTTTTAAAACCATGCTTTTTAAAAACTTAATTTGAGAATTTAATGTTAATGTGAATAACACATTTTTTAATGTATGTACCATCAAATTTGACCCGCACTAGTCTAATCCCAGACTGTTTGGATAAAATTTTTCCTAGTTTGATACAACCTTTATTATGTTTGTATGAGTTTTGATTTACAATGGAATGGAATGGAATGGAATGGAAATGAAAAAAAAAAACGATTTTCTTTTTAATTTCGGGATTAGAATACAATCACGGTTACGAAATTGTTGAAAATGTTGCCGAACACAAGTATTTGAGTGTCACGAAGCATTCAGACAAAGTCGTGAAGTCATCGAAAACTTGACGCATGCGAGTCGTCCATCCAACTCTGTTAACGACGATAACGTCAAAAAAGTTAAAGAAACAGTGCTTAAAAATAGTCGTATTTGCATTAGAGATAAAGCAGAGGATCTTCACAGCTCTAGTAAATGGTGTCAACTGAAACTAATAACAAGACTCATACTAAAAGACCTTTTACAAAAACGACGTCGAGTAAAGGTCGCAAAAGAGGTGCTTGACAACGTAACTAAAATGGCGCTCCAAAAATATGCCGAAACCGGAAAAAACAAAATTACTGAAGGTACTGAGGAGACCATCCCAACTGAAACTAATAACAAGTATGTATACAAAAAATTGGATGATGTAAGCATCTTTTGAAGGCAACTATAAATATTTGTATTAAAATAGGTGAAAATGTTGTTTTTTGTTTGTTAGTCCGCGTCAAATTTCATCAGATGGCATGTGGATCCTCCAACTGTGAAACATCTCGCTTTAATTTCGAATAAAGGTGAAATATACAAATATTTACGAAGTTTCTGTCTAAAAATTAAACCGATATTTATGTGTGTAGTAAATTGGCTCGAATATCTCTCAACAACAAATTAGGCTTCTACATTCCGAAAAATTCAACCATCCTAATGTACATACTTATGTACGTGTACAAATTTACACGTACATGCCAATCAATGAGGGGAGCTGCCAGTATATCTGGTATTTAATTAGCACAGCGGAACTGGGACGCTATTAAATCCGAACAAAAATAATAACAACAATGCAAATCTTATACGAATGTGTACGGCATTGTGTCTCATAAAGGAAAACGTAAGTAAATATTTGTAGAGAGCACTGAAGAAAAAGTGTAAATAATATAATATGTACCAATCTGAAAATTTAATTCATCATTCTTTAAATAAGAAATATTTGGCTTTTTGTCGCTAAATATTAGGAAACAAGAAATAACGAAATATAACGAATAAAAACGGATTTCAAACTGTATCAAAGTGTTTAACATCAACATTTTCATTCGATTTAAACGAATAAAAAAATAGTAGCAAATTTCTTATAATTCGTATAATCATTAATAAAAAAAGCTTTAAATACTCAGAAATAAGTAGTTATTGATAAAACTTTTCCTACACAACGACTAGAAAAATAAACAATTAATTTGCGTGTGTATTTTATGTGTAACATAACCACACTAACGAATTCAATTGCTCAGTAAGCACGTGGTTATCAACAAAATATGGACTAAAGCAATCGCTCTACTTTAAATTCCCTATCAATTAAATTGCTCTTACTGAGCAAGAGAATTTACATGAGCACTTCTATAGTAGGTATGAGACTAATAAGAGAGCGAAATGTGTGTTGACAGAGCTGTCAAACTCGATTAATCCCACAGCAAATTTATCAATAAATAATACTAATTGATACTCGATACTCGTGTGTAGAGCTTAAAACACTAACCAAACGCTGATAACGCCGAAAATTACGATAACAATGAACAGAGATTTGAGACATTTGCGAAATAAAAAGTATACTCAATTCTTAGATATATTATATTTGTCAGGCAGTGATCGAAGGAATAAGATTTTTGATAATAATTTCGAATTTTAAGGCACTCTGAAGTATAATTTTTTTCCAAAAAAACTACTTTTACTACTTTACCGCCATTTTGTCAAAAATCAAAATTTTGACTAGATCCTCGATCATTACTTGTATTTATCTCTAGCAATAATAAAATTTTTTTTTGATTATTGGATTTAAGACAACTTTAAGCAGAAAGATCTTCCTCACTGCCAGACACATTTTTTTTAGGTGCCCCTGGTAATCGGAACAAGCAAATCCAAAATTCTTCCAAATGAATTGCCGCTTATTAAATTACATTAAATTCTATAAATGCACATTTTTTTTACTTATAAAATAAAGTGCCTAAAAAACACAAAAAAAATCTCTTTTTTCTGACTTACAAGTGGGTATAACACCTTTAATTAAAATGTAATATAAATAATATAATTTATATAAAATTGAAAAATGTGTCAAATAATTTATTAATAGGTAGTAAAACAATTTTAAGATGAACACAGACTCTTACATATAATCCCAAATATTTATGACAAATCTAAATAGTAAATGCGAGAGTATAACCTTACAGGAAGCAAAATAAAAATATACTTACGTACATATTCATAGGATGTATGGTATGTATCTATCCACAAAATAGCACGAAAAAATTCGGTCAAGGATTCTTTGTTTTTATGTTTGTTTATCGGCAGCTTTGAGAAGCATGCAACAGCTTTCATTCTTGTTTTTTTTTTTTGAGAAAAAAAATTTCTGTGCATACTTTTATTATTGCGTCTACCAAATGTCTGGCGCAAAGGCCCCTACATACTTACTCGTACATACCAACACAGATAGTGCACAAACAGGGAAACAAAGCTCTGATAGAACTTGGGTGTAGCAAAGAGAGTTGCATGACTAAATATCATATTTAATACAACACAGAATTATGTGCCACACAACACCAAAGGAATGCAAAGAAATTAAAATAAAATACAAAAAAAAATTTTCAAGTATGTAGATGAAAATTGAAAAAAGGTCAAAATCTCTAAGAAGATTTTATGATATAAATGTAATATAAAATAAGTATGAGCAACTTAAGGTGGGATTTTAGAAACTTATTTTATATTTACATTCTTGATGCTAAAATATATTTATTCTTAAAATTTCTTATACATACAACTGCACTTATGTACATACATACATAGGTATTTTAATGCGCGTGTATTAGAAGCAATTCGCACATGTCATAAAGCAACAGCTGCTATTTTATTTGCTATGGATATTTTGTTGTTGTTTACACACAAATTTACATATTTCTTGTACGAATGGGGTGACAAACAGAAAGGTAAATGCGCGCGAAAAAAAATATACCTATAAAATAAAAACGTTGTACTGTATGAATTACGGGCAGAAAAAATGTCAACCACGAAGACAAAAAAGAAAAATATCTAAAATATGCAAACTAGGTCGTTCATTGCCTTTTTGGTAGACAGTAACTAGGAGAGTTATACATGGAATATATCTATATATGCTGCATGTATCTATCTATATATTTGTGTAACATTTAGGTAAATTTGAATGTTTTAATTTTAATTGGGCATCTGGTTTTAAAATTAGAACTTAACGGCGTAAACATTTCCTCTGGTGGCAATAACCTTCTTGGTATTTGGTTATACTAGCGTCAGTTGACATCGAGGAGTTTAAAATAATATTTATTATATGTATATATCTGTGGCAATATATTATAACAACTTAAGTCGAGTTAAGTCAAAAGCGGGTTAAGGCCATATACTGGTTCATCTTCTTGCAAGGCACATTGTAATCTAATTCGTTTTCAAATTCCATGTTTTTAGAAAAAGTTATCACGGTTTATTTTTCAACTTCAATACTTTTTGTTTAAAAAGGGTTTCGAGATTTCCTTAAATTAAATACACATAAGTGCTTATGATAAAATTGAAATCATCAAGTATGTGAAATATGTCGCTTTACGGAACATCTTAATTATACTTAGAAGGATCAGCTAAATTTTCGTTCGACATGGTATTTTAAATCAACATAAGTTTGTTTTCGTGCGTGTTTATATCATCTCTTATTCTACTTAAGCTGTTCAGTTCCTGAACACCTGACAAATTGTTTAGAATATTTCCTTGTAATGGAAAGTGAAAATTTACTGAGCCTATTAGAAAAAGTATTGCTATACTTAGCGATAGTCAGGCGGCACTACTCGTAAAAGCGATCTCTGCCTATGAGGTCAGATCGCTTCTAGTGCAGGAGTGTATAGAAGGGCTGAACAGCCTATCAGACCACAACCGAATGCACCTTATTTGGGAGCCTGGCCACAGGGGTATAGCTGGGAACAAACTGGCTCGCTCTGCAGCCTCCACAAAAAAGCTTGCCTATTAGACATAAGTTGATTTTACTTGTGTACAGTACAGTAAAAGATGTGCAAATAGAATAACATACGAGGAACAGCAATTTATTCACACGCAGTACTGAGGACAAGGTTTCTAGAACTTACGTAAGGCATATGTTACTGGCTTAATTGAAATTCAAGAAAAGATTACTATAAAAAAAAGAGTAAAAGACGAAAAAATATCGATAACCACATTTCTACTATCATTTTTTAGCGGTTGGTAGTAAAAATATTTCAGATGCACGTTATCCGGAACCGAAGAGAGTTCATAAAAACGCTTGTGAAGTCAAAACTTGAAAGATGTGGTGTCAGTGGAGATTTGCGTAAAAAACAAAAATGCGCTAGAAAACTAAAGCGAGAGAACATCAAATTTTAGGTTTCATCTAAAATTTTCAATCTTATGGGTTGCACTATACTCGTCGTGATACTTGTAAGCGTTATTTTCCGAGTGATTTGTCTGTAACTGAATTGCATCGCCACTAAAGAGATGAATACGACCATACCATGTCGCTTTCAGAATTTGCTAACTCTTTAGTACACTCGATTTGAAATTTAAAAATCGAAGATTCGACACTTGCCGCAGATGTAATTTGCTTCAATGTACAATACAAGTTGTCCAATTTGAAGAGCTTGAATCTCTTAAATGAGACTAAACTAAAAGGTTTCAATCTGCAACAGTGCCTTCCTACGCCTTTGTTGACACGTACATAGAGTGAGTGCTAGTAACCATGCGGCGATAGAGAAAAAAAACAAATTTTCAATAAAAATCCATCATCCCCGTGGTTGTTACCAATTTATAACAGTTGGAATAAAGAAAACCTTTTTGGTTAACGAAAAGTGGCAATCACATATATTAGATTTCGCAGTCGCATCGAAAAATGTATTTACTTGGAGAAAAGTGGATACATCGTTATTATTCAGTTGACATGACATTAAATAGTTCCGCTTTACTAAGAAATATTGTAAAATATATTTTAACACATCTTTAAGTGCAGACGATCCTTTCAAATGCATTAATATAACAAAGCGAGGAATCAATAATGTTTAAATAAAAGATTTAGGGGGCGACCTGTTTTTTAGAGAATTTTTTTCTACGACCAGTAAATAGTTTGAGCTTTAAATTTATCATAATTTATTAACATATAATATATTGCGACAGTGTAAACATAAATGTTCAGCTAAAAATATTGTATAGTTAGTGTTCTGAACAACCCCGCCTCGAACAAAAATTCTCCACGATTCCGGCTGATTGGCTTATACGAATCACAATTAGCGACATTTTAATTTGTAAGCCTAAACGCATGGAATCATCAAATGAATATACATAAAATTGTATTTTTATATATTATATCTACCATATTTGAAAAAAAAGTTGTGGATTTTGCGATTTTTGTTTTTGCTATAAAAAAAAAATCGAATTTTGGTCATTCGCTCTAGCCGTTTTTGAGATACGATGGAGGAAAATTTTAAATACACAGTATTGAAAAAAACGGGATTAAAGCTTCAAGTCCGCTTTGAATCGCTCTGAACAGCTCCTTCTTCTAACTGCTGTATATTTAAAACGACTTCGATTTTTTAAAAATTACTTTACTTACTACCGTTTCTGGACATGTTAAGAAAGCAATTTAAAAAAAAATAAATCGATTTTTCGAGCCCATCACGGGGAAGACGCCCTTAAAACATTGCTGTAAAAAAATTATCTCACAAATATGCTGCCACTAGTGGATGAAATTTATAGAGACTTCTATAAGAATATAACTTCAGAAGATATGATAAATTGTCATCCAGATCTATCGGAAAACTACGAAAGCAACGAATAATTATTTCATTACATTAAAACCATATTGAATTGACAAGCTTGAGTAATGAACTTTAATATTACTCTTTAATTATTTTTTTCCTTTTTAAACAAATAAGTAAGAAATTAATACTATAAATTATTTAATTTAAATTGTTTTTTTTAAATTTTTTTTAAGATTTAGTTATATTTACTTGTTTCAATTTTAACAGAAGCTCTTATGTCCACTTTAAAGTTTAAGAACTCTCATAACAAAACCTTAAGGCATAATAAGGCAATATTTGTCTTTTATCTTCGTTTTTCAAAAACACCTTAAGTACAAACCAAATAAACAAAAAACAATACTATCAAATAATTATTCTTTTTTTAATTTGTCTAATTTATCTTTAGAAATAATTCATTAGGTTACAAATATTTTCTAAAACTGCAACACAACATATTTTACACAAAATCGTTAATATCTGCAAATACGACTTTTGGACTTAAGATGTTTATGCCAAAACGCCACAGATATGTACCATATGTAAAACGTATAAGACTCGTTAATGACGTCTTATTGATATTATTATGATTGTTAATTATCCAAATATTTTAAGTTATCAAATGTATGCTTATTCAGTTGAGTGGAGTTCTAACTTACATATATGTATGTATGATAATATAAGCGTGAAAACAAGTACGTAGTGTTTATGTATATAGCGTACCATCTGATCATATTTGACTCGGACTGGTTTTAGGGTACGCGAAAGATCGATAGAAAAAAAGTTTCTAGATTGAGACGAATTTTTTGTTCGTGTGAACCCTACATTCATTAAACGCAACATTACTGGTGACGAGACGTGTGTTTATGAATCTGACAACTAAACTGTCCAACAATCTAGTGAATGGCGCGAAGAAAAATTAGCCGAAAAACCAATATTCGCTGAATGCACTAAAGGTCATTGAATAAAGCGTTTGCATGTTTATATACAATACATTTAGTTTTTTGTTTTGTCAGTCCGGATCAAAATTGATCGGATGGCATATGTTCATATATGCTATGTGTATGTAGTTGTAATAGAAAAATATGTGTAATTAATTATTTGACTTACCGCTGTGGCATTCTGTTGCTGCTGCTGTATCTGTTGTTGCTGTTGCTGCTGCTGTTGTTGTTGTTGCTGCTGCTGCTGTTGAGCCTGCTGTTGCTGTTGCTGAGCCGCTTGCTGTTGCTGCTGCTGTTGTTGTTGCTGTTGCTGCTGTTGCTGTGCCTGTTGTTGCTGTTGTTGTTGTTGCTGCTGCAACTGTGCGGCGGTGTTGGCATCTATCTGTCCAGAATTCGCAGCCGAATACCACCATTGTGAACCGGGTACCGCTGCCGCTGCAGCTGCTTGTGCCATATTAAGACGATAATCGTAGCCGGTTGAACCGGCCGCATTTGAGGTAGCGACCACCTGTGCCATGGTCGTGGCTGGATTTGGGAAGCTACTGGCCATTTTATAGGTAAATAACTGTTGGGTGCCTACACCAGAAGTGGTGTTGGCATTATTTTGATGTGCTTGCTGTTGATTTTGTTGCACGACCACTTGATGGGCCTGCTGTTGCTGTAATTGTTGTTGTTGTACTGCCTGCTGCTGTTGCTGCGCAGCCAACTGCTGCTGATAGTGTTGAAGAGTTTGCTGATCAATGGTTTGTTGTTGTTGTTGCTGTTGTTGCTGTGTCGCGGCCGCCGCGAGCGCTCCGGGCCACCAAAGGGCGGCCTCGGCTGCGGTCGCTTGGCGGTTGCCCCACGCACCGTGCTCTGACATTCCGGTGCGCGTTATCAGTAATATAAATATAAACCGGCTATATTGGATAATATGTGAATGCTTAAATAAAATTTGTTACACGATTTTAACTTTGCTTTAAGTGCTTGTAAAAGAAAGCAGTAAATATTTACAATTTTTTCACACGCGAAATTTATTTTTTTTTAATATATTTTATTGCAACAAATTGAAGGCATATACACGGTTTGCGGAAGGATTAATTTTGTGTTATTTATTTGGCTTTGCCTTTGGTTACATACGATTCTACAGTTAACCTGCACACACGCACTTTACATACAGCACTATGCAAAAACAGCTGAGTACACTAACAAATCTAGTGTTCTGTTGGAGCTTCTAAATCTGGAGAAAACAAAAAATTCACGAAATTTTAATTGAATATTCGGAAGCGTCTTTATCGAAGCAGTCAACACGTTTTGCACTCCGCGAAATTCACAGATCGTTGGTATTTTGTTATTTTTTAATGTCCTCAACAAATTTGCGCACAGCATTTGCGTCAATTTAATATTTCTTCTTTGATTCATACAATGTCACAAATTAAAACGAAGATAATAAACACAACTATGAACTATTTATTTATTTACTCGACACACAGGTTTTTTGACCGCTTTCAGCTTTAATTAATTTTTTTTTATTGTACTATAGCAGAATTTTTGTTTTCAAACGACCTATTCTATGAATAAACTAATTCATTCACTTTCATAGTTTACATTTGTATTGGAGTTATTGTATTTCCTGCGAAAAATTTAGCAGATATTTTCACAAAATTTTACACGCGGCGCGCTTAGACGTGAAATGTGTGGTGAGTGAACGAACCACGAACAAGCTAGTAAAGTGTATGTGCAGTAGAAACAGGCAAGAAAAAATTCATCAGATACGAGGAGGAGGAGGACGTTCACAATAGCAACAACAAAAAAGGCTACAATGACGATCCGCCATTTAGCATGAAGCGAAGCGGTGTTCGCATTCACGGTCGTGTGGTTGGTTGGTTAGTCGGCGTCGTTTCTCGCGCTTTCATTGCGACCGACCGCCGTTGTTATTATTATTGCCTTTTGACTTGTCTTCGCAACGGCTGCAAACGAAGGCGGCTATAAAAATATAGTGGGGTTTTGTTAGTGCTTCTACTTCTGCTAACTTACATGTAAATCTACATATATTCATGTGAACGCGTACATGGCCTATGATGTGTTGATGCGCTCGAAACGTGTTTTGCGCGCTTTTTTCGTTAGCCGCGTTCTTTTGCTCATTTTTCTCTGTCAATCGCCTGAGCGTGTGGATTTTTATTTTACTGAACAAAATATTTTGTAGACACTATGCTTTATCTTCTGATTTCTGAATAATTGCTTTTATTAGTAATAAAAAAAAACTATTAGCTTTGAGTGTTTGATAGAAGCAGCAATCATTGATAACAGCTGTCGATTGACAAAATATAATTATGTACATACATACATAAGTATGTAGACAACTGCAACCGAAAATAATAATGTTAAATCAGTTTTGTATTATATTTCTACGTGGTCTCGTTTCATTCACAATTAATGCACCACTAGAGGAATGTGAATAATGTTAATTTAACAAAAAAAAAACACAATTTAAAACAAACAAAAAGGAAATAGAAGAAATTCTCGAATAATATGAAATTCCTCAATATACTTATGAATTTAAAATATTATCTATAAGAATACTAATTTATCAAAGCTGTTAGGACTAACATGTTTATATAGGTTGACATTGCTTAACATACAGTGGTAATATAAACATTGAGTGCAACTATTAACAGCCAATATTATATGTTAAATTTATGGAATGCACACATCAAATTCGTAATTTCGTTAAATCGGCGTGCACATTTTTCCACATAAAAAAGGACTTGACACACAAATTTTAAAATTTCGCCTGCCCTATCCGGCAATCAAAAATTATAAACACAAAAACAAATCACGCATTCTGTTATTGTAGCCAGTGCCTTCCTTGACTTTGCCTTTTTATTTGCACAATTCAATAATGCAAAAGAAAAAAAATTTTTTTTTAAGCGTTGATTGAATGTGAGCAGCATGAGCTAAAATATACACGAAAGCAGACGTTGAACACCTTTGACAACGCTAGCATTAACGACGACGAAGTCCGAACAGAGAACGACAGTCAAACCAGACCAAACGACAGACATAAGAATCGACGACGACTCGATGCACGTTGGCTTACAGCGTTGAAAAAAGTGGCATAAAAGTTCAGATACATAGATATTTTGTTAGCAGACGGTAGAAAAATTCTAAAGAATGTTGGCGTTGTCATTATTCACCTTGTTTTTGTCATATTTTTAAGCTATCTTAACTCAACCGGCATCCACTTCTACCTCTCTTTCTTTTCTTTGCAGTAGCAATTTTTCGTATTCCTCAAAAAAGTACTTTCAAAACCGCATTTCTACTGTAAATACAACATACATACAGACACCAAAAAAAAAAAAACAGAAATATTTTTGCTTTAATTCACAACTGTAACTGCAGCAAAGCGAACTCTCTTGACGTCCTTGTATCACTTCACAATTTAATGCTTTGTAGGGTATTGTCTTTACTTTGGCAAATTCAACGTTGCTGCCTACTTACGTTCCAAGAATTGCTTTATGCTTATACATTTGTTCTCTACTACACTAGCCCTTGGCCACTAATACGTTTGCCTGCGTCGCTTACTAAAATTGAATGGCAAAGGCAAAGCACACGTAATCCGCTGCTGTTGCTGCCTTTGCTTTACCCATATCTACGTCTGCCCGTCGCCCTTTACCAACGATATACTATTCGTACATTCATACATACCTACGTATATGTGTAGATACTACTTGCACATTTGCACAGCAATACCAGCGTGACTCTACCCAACAGCGAGCAGGCGACAGAATTCATTCGTTAATTTTACAGTACCGAAGCCACGAAGACAACGGCGGCGGCGCTTATCATATGTAGATATGTAAGTATGTATATATGTACAATAGCATAGCGAGTAAAAGAACGAACGATGAACCAACGACCATCCGACCCTATCTTTCTGCAAACACATGTGTATGCGGATGTACACATATTCTTACTTATGGAAATACATGAATGTACATTAAGGTGGGTCAATAATATTGTATACATATGCGGGATATTAATAAGATTAAGAATATACATTTGAAGTTTTGAACCTGAGTTAAAATTTAAATAATTTTGAAAATTTTAGCACCAATGACAGAATCAAACTATGATTTAAAGAAATATCTGCACAAATAAAACTTACTAAAGTTGTCATATTGAATACTGGGGTCCTCCATGTATACGGCTTCTGACTAAAGTTGGCTAAGTTGACCTGTGCGCATACTTCACGCGACATTGTGCTTAATTGCCATAATAACACTTCATCATAAACACTACTACACTTACAATTTATAAACATCCCATTTTTAAAATATTTTAAAACGATAAAATAGAGGAACCCTAATATAAAATATTTAGGTGCGGGAAAACGAATAAATTTTATGTACGTATACGAACACACACCAGCAGCAACGTGCCACCAAGAAGACAGGCAGCAAGCGGTTGGGCAAAACGCGCAGTGACTCAATTATAAGCGATGAAAATACTTATACCCCATACATACCCATATAGTTAGGTGGCCATAACTAAATGGATGAATACCGAACTAGTGAAATTATATTGTAGTTCAATATTGACTGATAAATTCAAACAAGAGTAGCCAAAATTACTATTTTAAAAGCCATCTTATCTTTCAAAATTAAATCTGACAATCTACATTCATATACATACATTTGTATGTACATATAAACAGTATCTAAGAACACACATACAGATATACGTCTGTTCGTGGATATTTAACAAGAAAAAGGTATAAGTGCATGCATATGTTTGTAAAAGTCATATAGGGCAATATCAGCAACAAAATACGCGTAGACCAGAAGACAAAATGCAACGAACGACGAACAAGAATCGACCATCTCATCCACTAAACGAATTCATACGAAGAAGCGGTGTTGTCTGGATGCAACATGCCTTGTGGAATGCTGTCGGGTGCCACAGGGTGGTCAAATATTTTCATGAAAAAGAGTTATGGCAGTAATAAAGGACAAAACAAAAAATTAAGAAATAAATGTATTGGGCTAAAAGTCATTTAAGTTTGAAATTAAGTTAAAACAACAAAAAATTTAAAAAAATGGCTGAAATGACGTGCATTGATATACACTTTTTTATTACATTATATCTACATAGATATAAACAGTTGTTATCGCTGTCATAAGCCTTATAATTTTTATTGTCAATATATCAAAGTCAAAACCATCATTGATTGATTGTTTTGGTCATACATATGTACATACTTATGTATGGTATGTATAGAATTGAGAGAAAATGTGGGCTTTTTTATCGGTATTTTCGATATGGCAGATATGCACCTACGTATGTATGTTTATATGTCTGCGAAATTTGTCAGATTTAAAAATAGTAATTATGTACTTATCAACCTTTCTTGATTTCTGCCACTAAAATGAGCATGAAGCAATAAAATACAAATTTAAGTGAAATAGCAAACAGTTGCACGAAGAACTCAACACAAATCCTTGATTTAACAAATTCAAGGATTTGATGGATCTGGTATAAAAAGTGGTAAACAGTGGTATAAAAACCCAAAAATTGTGCAATTAAAAAATATTAAATTTGTTTTGGATAGCTTGTTAGAATTTTCAAAGGAACGAAAATTATTTCAATTTACAGCCTTGAAGCGATACTTTTAGTTTGTAGGTTTTAGAATTAGAAAATAAAAATACCCCGGTTAACCAGGTTGTTGGTTGTAAAAAATATTTTAAAAAATACACTGCATAAATAATTACCATCTTATGTATGTATATATTTCTTAAAGTAATTTAATCTTTTACCTTTTACTGTACTCTTGTATATTGTTGTAGTAGAAAAATATCAAAAGACCCAGGACAGGTAAAGGCCAACAAAAAACACTTTCAAAAATAAAAACGGATCAGAAAATACCACAGTACCTCGGCAGCGATTTCTCTTCCAATATTCTCTTGAATATACCCATGCTCTTACACTCTAGCTGTTGAGGAATCTTTTACATAACCTCTCCAATAACTACGCTCTTAATTACTCTTTAAAATCAACCCAAGAATTATGACATACTCTTATGTAGTGTTGTTAAACGCCGTATACGAATAAATTGGACCCAACAAAAACAAATATAGTGCTACCACAGTGTTGCTTTCTGCCGCATCAACTTATATTGTTTGCTTGAAGTGCCATTTGAAAAACATACCGTCAGTCAATGACTGTCTCAGAGCAAGAGAGAGAGACAAGCAGAACATTTATATTTAATGCTTGAGTGGATATTGTTTTTATGATGTTAGCGTTAACAGCAACATTTAGCGAACACCTAAACAAAACATATTAGCATCGATTCCGAGACGACGATTAGTGAGTGGGGCGCACAGCGGTTGTTATACTTGCTGCTATCTCCACCAAGCCAATGATGGTCCACAATTGTGCCGGTGTCAAACCGGCTGAGTGCCTACTACTTGGTTTATCAGCACAACACAGCAATCTTATTGAGTTAAAAATTTTCCCGCCAATTTTTTCAACAAAATAAACGACAACATAGCTTCGTCGACAACAGCGACGTCGTTGGCGAAGCAACGTCAGAGACAATCGAAATGACTGAACTGATATGAGTAGGGCAGCGGAGTATGCTAACCAATGTGACTTGACGACATGTGTGTGCAAATGATTGAAACACGCGTTAATGCAAAGGAGGAAAGAGAAAATATAATAAAAAGAAATTGTACAATTTGCTATTTGTGTCCGCTGTTGTTACACTACTTAAAAAGTATTTTATTCGGCATCGATACAACGACGCTACCGGTTAATTGCCGGCTTATATATATTTACTTATATCATATACATATGAATATTGCGCCACAATAATAGAATTGGATGGGTATTGACACTATTGCAAGTTAAAGTATCTTTTGGGTAATACTTTGAAAATATTTTGACTCTTAACAGCATAATTGTACTAAACTCTGCACAATTTATTTTAAAATAATATCACATAATCATTTTCTTGATGAACACTTAAAAGAAACAATAATGAAAAAAATTTTTGTATTAAAAAGTTCTAAAAATATAACAAATTTTCTGAAAGATTTTTTCGCATTAAAAATTTCTAGGACTATTACAGATTTTAAAAATTCTTTATTGACTTAAAAACATTCATAAAAACTGATCTGACCTTCGGAATATATATTTCTAATAATAATACCCTTATTTTACCGTTTAAATTAAATTAATTTCTAAAGTCGCTCTCCACCAACTCATTTGGATTCGTTTACTTAATCAGCAAATTCTTTCATGCCGGCAAAATACGTAACAATGCTTCCTCATGTTTTGTTTCTTTAAAAGTGCTTTCTATTGTTTATCATACTTAAAAAGCGCGCGAATATTAAGCTGCCATCAGCTAATATATGTATATATATATTTTTTTTTACAAAACCGCATCTGTGAATGCGCGCGTAAATTCAGACAAAAACCTCAATCAAAAGGTGCTCTCTGTTTTCTTTTCGAAAACCCAACACAACCTATTGGCAACATTATAGATAGGCATGAGCAAAAGTCATAACGGCAACACTATTTTTGCTGAGCACATGCATTTATTAATAGTTCTGCCCCATGGATACTTCAATGTATCTTTCGAACTCTTACCAATCGCTCTTAACAAATGAGTAATGCAGAGAGTTGTATATAGATATTATTAGTAGAGAGGAGAACATGAGAGAGCCAGTCTATATACTGATAAATATAAGGAGAGTACAAAAATTAGCGCATTCAAATAAAATGGTGGCATAATGCTAATCGAATAGAGCGAGATAGCATGTTATGAGGAGAGCACACACAGGGTATGGCGATTAACGAAAGAAACGAGGCTAAAAAAAAAAGGTAAAGTGAAACGAAACGAGTCGCAGGCAGTAAAAAAAATATATACACACAATTATATATACATATGTATGTATATAAGATGGTATACCAGTCGTTTTAGCTTTTGCATTATACTGTACTTTGTTATATGGATGGAAAAATTCTGTGTAAACTATACATGTAGCGGAGGAGGGGAACAACGAAAGCGGACAAATTGTTAATAAATTTGCTTATTACAGTATTGCTGTTGCTCGTGCTATAATTGCAAAATTCACATATTAGAATGTATATATACGTATATGTATGTGAATATTTGTAGCTCTAATCGATAGTATGTAGAGGGCAAAAGGAAGACAGGGAATACCGTGTATACTAGACAAGTGAGTACCAGTTTAGCTGGCTGCAAATAGAAATTAATGTCATAGAAAGTGCATTAATGCAAATAAATAAATGCAATGCATACAAATATTATAGGCTGCAATGGAGAGGGCAGATGTGCGGACAAATGCACGAATGATGAAGCAAAACGTTACGCAATTTAAATAAGTTTACTACATTTTGCGCGTCTCGTTAATAAAATTTGATGAGTCACAGAGGCAGCTATTTACAAACACAAGAAAATAGTGTATTATTTATTTTATTAGTATCATTTTATTAATGAATACAAAAAGGCTTTTGCAAAATTAAGCTATAGCCACGCGGTTTTATTTTTTATATTTACATGTTTATATACTCATTGTTATAAATACAGTTTTTTAGGATTTTGCAATATTAAAGGCACTACTTTTACGTTTAACTGACATTAGTTAACGCATACGGTCTACATATCAGGTAGTAGCATAGAATTTTTTATTGTTGCTTTTGTAATTGTTAGAACATATGTATTTCATATGCCATATTTCTTTTGCAATTGATTTCAATGAATTGGAATTACGCGACTCCGCTGAATTAGCATCAATTCGAGTTTATAATTAAGACTTTGTACAGAACTTCAATCAATTCCTACATTTAACTGAATTTTACCAAATGTTAACTCACTAAAATAAAACTGTCGAATTAGAATTCCCATTTGCCTGGAGGCAATAGAAGAGCAATTTTTCCAGTGGATGTATGCAAGATTTCTATCTCAGAAAGCAAAATATAAATTTATATTATTTGTATAATTGCCACAACAAATCTTTTCAAATCCTCAATTAAAAAAAGACAAAAAATCTGTAGGTTTTTAAATCGCCGTAAAAACAAATGTTATTAGCTTCGTGACTTGCGAACGCAAATTTTATTTATGTTATTTGAATTTCCGCCACTATATTAATTAAATATTTAGGGAACACGGCATAGTGTATATAGTATATTTCACGATTCATAAAATCACCTTCAATACCGCATTGACGTTATTACGTCATTAGATTTTTATACACTTTATTAAAGATGGTATGTCGTATTTATTTAATTATTATTTATAACACCGTTATTTTAACTTTATTTTAGAGTTTTCGGTACGTAACACAGTTGATATTTTATTTTCAAACATCCACATTATATCCATTTAGCATTAATTAATTATATATTGCGTTGAATTTGTTATATAGTTTTCTTACACACCACACCGAAATGTCAGAGCACAGCTACGTGGGGAAATATTGTATAGGTACATATTTATAACTTATAAACAAACTACAAACCAATAAACATAATCAAACAAAAAATACTACAAAAGAAACTAAAAAATTCTTTCAAACTAAATAAATAATAAATTACAAACAAAAAAAAAGTATAAACATGAAAAGTTGGTGGCGAATTAATTGTTGTCAGCGCGAAAAACACACACCTTTCTCATTAGCGCCAGTCGTTAAGTTGCATTGATCGATTAATTTGTATTTACATACATTCATATATGAATATGCAAATAATATTTAACTAATAAACACGATATCGTATACAAGATATCAAACTGATCTTATACCATCGCGTTGTTTCCAAGTCCTTCGATACGTGTAGGTAAAAAAATATGATAAGAATAGCGATTATCTGCGACGCGATTAGTAGATGTGACGTTATTGCTACTTTCATTTACGCGAAACTTTGCGCGATTCCACAAGCCCACCACTACCACCAGCTGAGAGCGTCAGCTAAACCGAAACCGAAAACCTGTCAATTCAATCAGCAAACCTCTAAAGTTTCTAATAAGTGCAAAACTCAGCAAATAATACAACATAAAAACACCTCAACCCATAAAGTCAAATAATGCCAACGAAAACCGCAAACAGCGTAAAAATCTCTACATGTAGATATTCATACACATATGTGTACGTATATATTGTAATTTTTCACATGCGAATTTTACGATTTGTTCGGCGATGTGCGTGCGCCGCGGTCGCTGCGCTGTCACGGCGCACCCCGTCTGATCGCAATATTGCAATCGCACAGTCATAAATGCAGTCAGAAAGGCAAGCAGACAGACAGACGCGTCTGTTGCAAATATGTATAACCATTTAACCGTCGTCTCGACAAAACGTAAACACTTTCCCCCCACCAATGCCCCCTGTTTAACACACATACTTCGGTTGGATGTTGTCATATTGGTATTGATTGATTTGTTACGGGGTATTGTTTATTTTATATTTTCTATCAAATCCTGTAATTAGTAATTGTAATTGGCTAACTTTTAGTACAGAGTAAATTTGGTTAACGAAAAAACGGTATAAAACATTTATGGAGGTATTTGAGGCTTACTTTATTATAAACAACAAATGAACCTATGTATGTCCGAATTTTGATGGCTTCCTTAATTACCGGGAACTATAGCCCGGAATAATAAATAACTAAAACTAGATGCGCTTTCAGAGCAATTACTTAGTTTTAATTTATTTAATCAAGTTTTCTTTGCTTAAATTAAAATAAGCTTCTTTTCGTCAAAGGAAGCTAATGTTATGAAAGCCATACTACGTTGTTGTAGACACTTCATTGGACCCGCTGGTCCATAATGTTAATTAAAAGCTAACAATTTTAAAATTTAATTTTTTAAAACTACGCGGCTTTCAAACCCTGATGTTTGGCTGTCATATTAACACAAAGTTGTGGACAAAACCATAACGTGTAAATAAACTTTGGCAACTAACTCCTACATTAAAAACAAACAAAAACATTTACCGGCTGTATAGACATTGTTTATACATACGATTAGCAACAATAAATACTAATGTGCACTTATCTAATGTCGGCATACAACGAATAGAGGGCGGACAACGACAACCAGAAACATAGTTAAGTTAAATCTCAGGAGGCATAACATCCATCGGTTCCGAACCGTATCAATCAATATGTGTATATGAATACATATTATTCACTTGCGCGCTTTCGATTTCTCCGATTGACATTCTCAATTTCGATTGATGTCGCGACGCGTGCACTGATGACTGCTAACAGTCGCGTTGAATTCGGCGGAATAATGATGTTATTGCAAGCGATAATGATGCTTTCTCGGATAGCGTGAACAAAATTGGTAGGTGCTGATTTGATAACGATAAGAGTCGAGTCAGTATTGCATATAAGTAGGTGGGCTGTGAGGCAGAGCCAAGAATGTAACATATGTAAGCGCTATAAATTTCATATTCATATACGGTCATAATGAAATATATATGAAAACCGAGACGCGACAATGCGCCGCGATGCGCAACACAACAAAACGTCAGCGAGTTCACCAACGACGACGACGACAACAAAATCATCGCACCAAATCAAATAAAAATCAAAACAAAACGAACAACAAAAAAAGATAATAATAAAAGACCCATACACCAAAAACTCGTATAAAATAAATAAAAATTTACCTGAATCTGATGAAAGTGCTCCATACTGCAACTATATGTTGTGTTGTTGTTGCTGCTGCTGCTGCTTTACTGCGTCACTATAATTGTTGTTACTGCTGCTGCTGTAGTTGTTGTTATTGTTGTTGCTGTCGTCGCTGTTTCCTATGTTGCTGCTGCTAGCTGTAATAAGGCTTTAGCTCTATACACAAATGCTATGGCTATACTTTGTTTAGGCGTTTACGTTGCGTTGTTCAACAATGTGCCGCCGTTCGCCACTCCACGTATTATAAAATTATACAATACCAACAATGTATTCGAATGCTGCTGATGCCGCTTGCTTGTTTGCACAGCACACGAAGAATAAAAATGTCTCTCCTCTCACTCCTTTGTACGCTCTCACACACTACTTTCGTTGTGCGTCTACTACCAACACTCGTGATAGATACGATATATTATATAGGGGGGAGCGCTTAGGGGAAATATTCGCGCGCGCGACGACCCTCTTTTTTCACTCCTTCACAGTTCTTTTACAAACACTTCACCAATTCGCTTTATGCAATCACACACAAAACCACTTATTTGTTTCTACGCATATAAAATGCGTCTCTGCTTTTAGTCTTCTCAACAATTTGTGCGACCAAAAAGGAAAAACCACAGGCACTCACTGTTCACTTGCTTTACTCTATGCACCCGTTCGCCCCGTCGTTCAAAACTGATATATCAAAGTTTCCTCTACTACTTCACTCTACTTCCCTTTATGAATACTTCACGTAGTTACACTCTCTCACCCTCTCTTGCTCTCTGAGTTTCAATACTCACAAATTCCAACAAGCGTTCGTACATATAACGAATTGCGACAATACTCAGTTGGTATGCGCTGTTTTTTTTTTTTGTATATATATATATTTGTTTTCGCTATACGCTTGTTTCGTTTCGCCTATAGTTTGTAGCTCAAGATGTAGAGCTCTATGCACCGATTCTGTACTAGCAATGGTCGTTACTATGACTCTATACTGTGGGTACAGCTTTGCCCCTGATCTATAGCATGTATTGTGTATAATGTCGTTTCGTATAACCAGCCGTTACGTTACTCCTCTATAGCTGGCTCTGCTGCTGCTGCGTTCGCTGCTGCTATGATACACTGCAATCGCTTATGGTCGTATTCCGCTGCGTCGTCGTATTTCTCATACGAGTATCGACGTCGTAGCCCCGTGGTCCGTATTGCCGTTGATATTGTATTTTTATATTGTAGAGTCGACGACGTCTATAGCTCACTATGCTATGGCGTTGCTGCTTCTGCTGCTTTGCAATGCTATTCAGGCAATCTCGCCTATATTTTTGCTTGGCGCTGAATTGCTTGTTGTGAATTGTATAATCTCCAACAAATGCACTGCCGCTTGCTTTGCTTTTACTGTGCCGTAGTCTTGTATACTGTGTATGGGCTGAGCTGATAGTCCAACCGTTTACCGTGTGCTTGCTTGCTTGCTATAGCTCTATAGTGGATTCAATGCTTGTCGCTTCAGCTATATTGGAAATATAACACAATACACACAGAGCGCCGTATACCAACAACGAATGAACGTATGAATGCTATGGCAATTGCCTTTGCAAAGGCTATTGAATTCAATTCGGAATAGTGGCTATATGCCCGCCGATGCCCGTTCGTCGTTGCTTCTACTCTTCTATCTGCATTGTTTACAAAAACAAAAAACAATGCTCTCCCTCTTTCTGCGGCGCTCTTGTGTTATAACCTTACTCTTACCATATTTTATATGTGCTCTCACTAGGCAAGTAAATACGTTATAAATTGGGTATATGATTCATGCGGCGTTAGTATGTGTGTTATATGCATTAATAGCTTATATGCTTTGTACTATTTTGTTGTTGGCTGGTACAATTTGTTATTGTTTTTTAGTATATTTTGTTGCCTTTCGTAATTTCAACGCTGCTGCTGTTTATATGCCTTTTGCCATAAAGGAGGCAAGAGCGCGCCAAATTTCAGTTTTTTCTATCCCAAACCGAACATATAAGTATGTATATTTGTAAGTATGTGCCCGACCGCCTGCAATTTCAAATACTGTAAATATATACATATCTTCAACATGCTGAATTCGTTCCTATTCATTCGCACTCGTATTAGATGTTGGCTGGTCGTTTACTTCAACATACTACTATATACCATTAAATTCGAACCGGACCACTCTTAGGTTGGTAGAACTTTATATTTACGGACTATTTGTTTACGGCGCGACAATTTAATCTGTCGATTTTTACCCTAAATACTGCTAAACCTAGATATTCGTCTTATGCGAACAAGCAGGCAGTTTACAGATTTTCCCCTATTATGAAGCACCATCACATTAATTATATACTATTTCCAAATTTCAAATAATTGCTACATAGAAAACAGCTTTAAGAGATTAGATAGATAATGATTGAGGTAAGCACCGCGACCTATGGTCTATTGTGCCCTTTTAAGAGATTAAGGCACAAAAGATAAATTCGCCCCAACTACTAAATGAAATTGAGATCGGAGCCTATAAAAAGTTTATGGAAAGATTATAATAAAAATAAGTATTGAACATATGAAAATTTTATTAAAACTCGAAGTCAAGTTTGACCAGCCTAGTGCTAGTTTGTTGTTGCTGTTTATATGTTTTTCAAATAAAGGAGATGAAGAGCGCGCCAAATTTCAGCATTTTTTCTTCCCTAGCCCACTACTACTCATGTGATACCTACAAGCCTTCAATATGCTGAATTCGTTCCTACTCATTCGCACACGTTTCAGATATTTTTGTTTGCTTTCTGCATCATACTATGTGCTAAATTGCTGAGTTCAATAAAATATGGGGCGTACTGCAAGGGGGATCACTTACAGATACTGTGTACATAAAAATCACCAGCAATTTATATGTAAAATAGTTTTAAAACTACCATTTTCTCTCCGAAATTAACCAAATATCACCGTTTTGTTGTATATATGCCATTTTATAGGGATTATATTTGTCGATCTCTACGAGATTTCTAGAGCGCTACGGTAAGTGATTTATTAACATATGGTCAGAAGCCCTTTTACGATACACCACTGTCCTCGCTCAAGTGGTTAAATATATACAGGGTCCTACAATAATGTCGTTTACATTATAAGAAAGAAAGATTATAAACTATTTCTATATGGTATAAAATTATTTATTAGTAGTTTTCCCGACTAAAATGTGTTTCCCTAAAATAATTGTCGGTGACCAGTTTTCTTTCTACGGCCCTTAATATGCCCATACATTAAGTTCGGTAAAAGATTTGTTATCTAAACAAGTCTCCACAACAGCATAATACAATAACATTCCATAGTTACAAATTATACAACCCATTATTCGGTATTTGTTTTATATATAATATATACTATCTGATCAAATATGACCTGGACTGCCAACATTTTCACGTATTTTAATGTAAATCATTATCAAGGCCTTCAAAATATGTTCAATTTATGCAAGCTTAATCCAATTTCCCATACACTTCGTATAAGCCAAGCTTTTTCAGTGGAGACTCATTTTTGTAGCACCTTTCGCTAAATGGTTGGACAGTTTCGACTTCATATTTATAAACCTCAGGGTTTATGTAGGATCCTCAGCTGCGTTGTCAAACATTTCTCGCCAGATAAACTTACCGCATCATAAACAAACAGATGTCAAACACACACTAATTAACATAAAATGGTTGTACTAATCTAGGAAAAAAAATGAATCTTTTCGATTTGCGCGCGCAGTTTAAACGGCCCAGTCCGAGTCAATTGTGATCATATGACAGTATACGCGTGTGAGAATGCGTCATTGCATTCCCCCTTACAATTTTTCCCCACCATTTCTTTCATTTGCTGCTAAAAAAATATTTTTCAATTTACACCAAAGCCCACATATGTATTTGCTGAATCTTTCACACTAAAAATTCCGATTATACTCATGCTTTCTCGCTTACCCTTTATATATATTGTAGCCTAGCATTCGACCGATGCTCTCTACCTGACGGTTGCAAGTTTGTTAGTACTCTCTTAGTGTCACTTCTGCAATTTTGTAACACATTATTGAGCGAGTGAAAGGCGAGAGTTAAGAGCGCACATATTTGTATTCAGTTTATTGAGAGTAAAGCCGATGCGAACCGAGCTGTAATTTAGACGCGCCGTACACAATTCACATAATGGCCGCTCGTTGTCGGCTTTGTTTAAATGGCGTTGACTGTGCTGCCAACCTTTGCCAGCCACCACTGCATACGGCGCTATTATTATCATCATAAAAATTCTCACGCAGCTGTGGCCTTATGAATGTTTGTTATTGTTGTTGTTATTTCTTGCATGAGTTTGGTTGTTGAGAACATTGGTTATTTGTAAAATAGTAGAAATACAAAATAAAGTATCTGTGTTTTGCCTGATTATTTCAGATTTCCGTACTTAATTTAAAATATACACTGCTGCGGTTAGGTTCATCAGCGGCGCGAAATCAGTCATTGCTGTGAATGCGACAAATTAGCAAGGAAATATCGCATGCACATGTAGTCGCATTTTCATGCGTCGGCAGGTGTATGTGCGTGTGTGTTTTGGATACCGATCATATTGGAAATTTAAGCAAAGTAGGTGGACTCATATACAAATTTACGAAACTAATATAAAATAATAGAGTTTTGGCATATGAGACGCACTTAGCAACAGATTGTAATAGTGGGAGAAAAAGTTACTCTGCAAAGACGTTAACACTTTCTAACCTCTCAGACTGTACTTGACCATTATTTGTCTTCGTTTTCATTGTTTTTTCTTGTATTCTGCGATCATATACTTACATGTGCATACATACTTTGTATATGGTATGTAAGTACTTGTATGTGTACATATGGACGCATGCATATTTCCTACATGTAGTGTTGTTTTTTTAGACAATGTTCACACAAGGAGTCTTTTGTTGCCCAAACCGATATTTATTTTTTTGTTTGGCGAGGAGACGACAATGAAAGACGAAGGGACCGTGCTGCTCGTGCTCGGGTGGCGCATTGTCTCACGTCGTGGGCTTGTGGTGTGATCTCCAAGATCGTGCGAATTAACACCAGTCGCTTGTCTACACAGATAAGCCCGAGACGATGGACGCTTTGGAATAGAAAATTCAATAATATTGCTGATATACGGCCCCAATTGCTGCAAAAAATGGTCGAAAATTGGTGCTTTCGGCTTAAATGTATTCTAGCCAGCTGCGTCGGTTACTTGCCCTTAAATCATTTTTAAAACATAATTGCAAACTTTTGTCTTTATAATAAAGCTGAATTTTAGGCCATAACATTATATTAAAGATATATGTTATATTTCTTCTTGAAAACCACATCTCTAAAAAAGCACCATTTATGAATACAAATACGCTTGGACTGCAAGTTTTAATCATTTTAAATGGTCTCTACTTGCTATTTGTTCTAGAAGATCCGTTGTCAATTTAATTGGCAAACATAAATCATACTAATCAAAATAAACTTTGATATATTTAGGAAAAAAAAAATTAAATGTAATAACCATGATTCAATTATACAAGGTTGTGTCGCTACGGAGCGTGCTTCCTCTTACGAAAGAAGTGTCTGTATCCATAATATCAAAAAAACAACTGTTTTAGTTTTTCTTATAAATTTTCTGTTATAATTTGATGATTTTGTGTGATTGACGATCTATCATATTCAGTTATCTCACGAAAGTCGGGTTTATGTTCATGGAACGGAACCTGATTTATATCCGGTCCCGAAATTTCAACTCGGCATTATTTATCAAAATTATTTGGGGAATATTTTCAGCCGATATAACAACAAATGTATATGGTACAGAATTACAAGCGGTTCTAACATTTTTATGAGTTATGTGTACGGTTACACATATATTTGAAAACCGATATTTTATATATTTATTTAATAGGCTAGACTTCATTATAAGGATCGTAACAGACAGGTATGTATAATTTTACATTACAACTTAATTTCATGTAAATAAAACCCCATAAAATAAGAGGTACGGATGTGTTGGAGTTGTTGCATCCATATGCGGGCTGGGTTCTTCCATTTGCACACATTAGACGTACTCTGTTTATTTTTTGTATACATTTTTCATTTAAAAAAAATCTTTGAATACGAAAAAGCTAGCAATAAACCACTGGTTTCTCACACTTGCGAAGATTAGACGTCGTTATTCCGTCTATTTTTTGTATACATTTTTCATTTTGAAAAAATCTTTGAATCCAAAAAGTTAGCAATAAGCCACTTAGTTCTCACACTTGCGCAGATTAGACGTATTCCGTCTATTTTGTGTATACATTTTTCATTGTGAAAAAATCTTTGAATACGAAAAAGCTAGCAATAAACCACTTTTCGTTTATTTCCCATAACTTTTCTGACATTTATATGTTTATCATAAAAGATCGCATATACATATGCAACAAATTATGAATTAAAGTACTAAATTGTCTATTATTTAAATTGCTAGTATATACATACATTATGCTGTTGAAGTCATAGTCTTTGTAAGTATAATATACCAGCGCTCGTCTTTTAACTTACTTGGCAATACCGTTTTGATTTTGACAGCAATGACGTTTTAAAAAGAAGAAAACACAAATAAAGAGGAATCGCAAAAAATACCCATTTCATTTCGTTTTGCCATGAGTTTCCAAGAAAATTGCCTTCATTGATTTTCTGAGTTACATCGTGGTTATATCAACGTTCTTGTAAACAGTGAAATTATTAAACGAAAATTCATTTAATAGCGTTAGAATAACGAAAAAACAGCTGAAAATATGAATCGGTCGCGTCGGCCTCCTCAAAATAGAAATTTTGTGTCTGGCGGAGTATATGTAAGTAAATCATTCCTATTTTTATAAAGGTGTAAATTTTTCGAGTTTATGTGTATCTATCTTTCAATCGATTAAGCAATTTATACAAAATGTATTAGTGCATACTCAAAAGCTGAAAACTAAAGAAGATCAGGACTTTTTGTAATATATTCGCATGTTAAATTTTGTATATATTTGAGAGTTTCTATACATAATTTTTTCATGCTGTATAACTTTCTCGGTAATTAAAAATTCCTCTTTTCCGAGTAAGAATTTTCCGTACATATGTATGACTTAAAATCAATTGTTTGCTTATATGAGATCGATATGTCGCAAGTTGTATAATTTATATATAAACGGGCATAGACAGGGGTTTCGCGAAGCGCTCCTCGAGAATACGTCTCTTTAATTTGCTTATGAGAACTTCGCTTTAATGGCATACCTTCTCAAAAACGTTCATTTCTGTTCCTTTTATTTAATTTTTCAAAAAAAAAAAAATTGTATGCAGCACAAGCAATGAATTATTGATGCGTGTAATTTTCTCCTACAATTGTTTCTTAGAATAACTAAAATTGTTTATGCTGGTAAGATAGCCTCTTTACTGTTGACTATTTGGTAAAAAGACTTGGTCCAATCTGAGGTTAATGCACTTATTTTGTATAAGCACAATTTTTTATAGAATAACTATTATTAGTAAAGGTATTTACATATGTATGTATTGTATATAAGTATATACAAAAATATTATGTCATTTGTATAAGACTTGTATATTTTTGAGATTACCAGCATTAAAATAAAATTTTGCATTGGTTTAAAATATTGATTATTTTATTTCTTTATAATTTGCAGTGGCAAAGGTTGGTAACTGTATAAGTGCCCTGTACAATAGACTTGTTTGCAATAATTTTTAAAACGACTCTAATCCGATTGCAGACTTGTCATAACCGCAATCGTTTGCACAATTTTAGCTATCAATTTGATAAATTGATTGCATTAATTGCGTGTACGGTGCGTAGGAAAAAGCTATGGCAAGCAGACATTCTTGTAATGGTAGACATTCGGGATCATTGCGTTTTACAAGCTGTTGGAAATGAGTCTATTTGATTTCTTAAATATTAGTTTTGTATATCATAGTTATGTACATTTACTTCGCTGTAAACTCAAACGAATATAATATAGGGCGTAGATTAGAGACAACGCTACAACTGAGAATATATGTGTGTATTTGTCATACTCTTTACATCAATAAAAACACAATGTGTCCTGTGAATGCATTGAAAATTCGATATTACGTTGTAGTTACATATGCAAATTACACATTTGTTTTAAAATTAATCGATCCTCCATTCTGTGTGTACACATTTTAAATTTTTAATGGGTATGAATGTTGAAAAAAAAAACTTAGTCCTGCCATACGATTTTTTAAGACTGAATATTTCTGTGGAGTATTCGACTGACCATGTTGTTTTTGTTGTTGTTGCAGCGGCAGTATTCTGTCGAGTTGACAGTACTTGGCCGGATAAAAATCCGGGTCTGTTCCGATTACAAAATCCCGACTGTCGTGGGAACGGCCATGTTTTTCACACTCTTTGGCCACAAACTGTAGTCCAATGAAGGCCAATCTGGACTTCCAGAGAGCCAATCATCTGCTTTTAAGCCACTGTTGGGTGGTTTTTGCTTTGTATGCTGCAGATGAAACTTGCTAGAAGATCCAATGCTCTCCATTGAAGAGAGTATTGCTTAACTGCTTTAACTCCCTCTAAGATATCCTGCTGGGACACTTTTGCTCCAATTTTAAACCCATTTACACAAAAGTGAAGTGCCTTTACAGGAGACTCTCTGCCAAACAGGGTAACATTTTTCATCAGTAAAAATAATACTTTCACGACTATTGACCTAGTATCTGAATTAAATTGCTACAAGCATTTTGTCAAAAGATGACCAGTTGACCGACGGTAGGCTATCATGTGCAGATCTTCTCAAAAAAGTTGATCATTGATGTGGTTGATATATATTTATATGTATATTTATCATTCTCGATATGTTAAGCTTTTTTATGAGCTCATAAATTTCCCTTGCGCTGCTTTTCCACACTTATATATAAAGCAATCACTGCAATATGATTTTCTATAGCTCCACACTCCATTGTTAATAAGCGAAAGCAAGCACTGAACTGAAGCGAATTTATTCACGCTTTATGCATTGTAACAGTAGTTATGGCAAGACTAGGTACCTAAAACCTTATATGTATCGTAAAAAATATTAAAACGTGTAGGCATTCGTGAGAATTACGATTTTTTTTCTTAAAAACTGATAAGTGTACAGGTGAATAATAAGCATATGTAAAAATACATATTTATATAGGCTCAATCATGTATCGCATACAATGATTGAATGCAATGGTAACAATTCCGATTGATCTTTTGCATTCGTTTATTGTGTGAACTACAGTCAGCAGTTGTTAACGCATTGAGTAACTTATGCTGACTAAGGTAATCAAAGCGTTTTAGCTGTTAAATTGAGTAGTTTAAGTAATTGTAGTTGAAAATTTCGTTTGAGCAGTGGTTGTAGGAATGTTCATAGCTATTGCTAAACTAAGGTTTTTGAGTTTGCAATATCAATTGAATGCGATGCCAGCATGAATCCATTAACAACGAGTCAAAAACGTCGTTGCTCTGCAATATATTGATTTAATCAGCAATACGAGACACGAAGTGATCAACCAGAAATGGAATGTGATAAGAAGTGCACGTTATTGTGGTTTGGTTTGTAAAACGCATTTGGTATTTGCAAAAAATGTGTAAGAAATTGATTTTTAGTTCAAAACAAAAATTTTGTTTAATAAAAAAATATTTATATCTACATCAATTAATAATTTATTTTTTCAAATCTATAAACAATGTATAGGATCCGCGACAATCGTATATTGATCAGCAAGCAAATCAAGGAGGCGGACAATATCAGAGACGCCAAAATCAAAATTATGCCAATAAAGCTGTGCGGAATGAAAAAACGCACCAAGTGCAGCAAGAAATTAAGGTACAAGAGCAACAGAAATATGAAAATACACAACCGCCACCATTAGAGCCACCGCCACAACCACCACAAATGGAAGATGATACAGCAGAAGAAGATATCAAAGCGGAGGATTCTGGCCTATATGATGAAAGTGGAAAATTGCAGTATAAGAATATTTTTCGTACGCGCAAGAAGTCTTCCGGTATGTATATATAATTTATTATACTACCATTGTTTGCTAAGAAGTTTGTAACAGCCCGAAGGAAACGTCGGAGAGTCATAAAATATATGTATATACATATATATAAATGATCAGCATAATGAGCTGAGTCGATTTAGCCATGTCCGTCTGCATATACACGAACTAGTCTCTCAGTTTTTGAGATATCGATCTGAAATTTTCACATACCTTATCTCGCCAAGAAGCTGCTCATTTGTCGGAACCGATATCGGACGACTATAGCATATGTAGCTGCCCTACAAACAACGATCAAAATCAAAGTTCTCGTATGGAAAACATTTGTATTTTACCACATATTTCCACGAAGTAACAGTTTACGACAACGCAACAATCTACGAAGAAATTGTTCTTGCCCACAGCTGCCATACAAACTGGCGGATCTATACCTGAATAAAAATATTTGTATACCATTTTATGTTATAAGAAATGCACCTGTGTAGGATATTATAGCTTCGGTGCAGCCGAATTTTACGTTGTTTCTTGTTCTTTTTTATTACTTTTATTGCAACTATTTTTCTTTCTCGACTACACAGTTCGTGCCAAAGAGAAGAAAATACGCCAGAATCGTCAACTGCGCAAAACACTAATCCCTAAGAATGCCTTGATGGTTCTGAATGAGGTCGTTGGCTTGACAATTAGCGAATTTACTATAACCAACGCTTCAGGTGGTGGATTTGTAGCTGTTGTTACTGTTAATGATAAACAATATGAAGGCAAAGGTCATTCTAAGATAGCTGCTAAGAATAGTGCTAGCGAGAAAGCATTGCGCGATTATGTGTTGGAGAAAATGCGTGAAAAGCCACGTTTGCGTAAGAGCTCCGTTAATAATGATGAATCTGTGGAAATGGCCGTTGATGTTCCCACTGGTGAGAGTAAAAGTAATATATAATTATTAGAAAACGTAACTCATAATGTGTTGTGTTTCAGAATCGATCAGCGAGAATGGCGAAGACGGGCAGCAGGATAATGCTGGTACAACACCGTTAATCGATGATGTACCCATGGTCAATTTGGCTTCATTCGCTATTTTTAAACTGTTTACTGAATGGGAGAACGAGGGTTATGTTGTACCGGAGTTGCGTGTTGCTCATCCGCCGCAAACAGGCTCTGGCAACGACAGCACTAATGGAGATGGCAACCCTCAGTTTAAGCCACCAAAGGCGGCACCAATTCGCTCTGAATTGCCAAACAATTGGGAATCAATTCATCCTTCTACTTTACTCTGTATGGTAAGTGAAAATTTTGTTGAGTTCTACTTAGAAGATCTAAAGTTCTTGAATTTTGAAAAACACTAATTAAACGAAATTCCGTTTATAATGCAGATGCGGCCAGGATTGCAGTATCGCGAAATTGGCACAATAGGCGACCCACCAAATGTATTACAGCGCATGGGCGTTACCGTCGACGATGTGGACTATGAAAGCTCTGGTCGATCTAAGAAAATTGCTCGCCGCAATGTTGCCGTTTGTGTGCTAAACGAGTTGTTCGGTACTAATTTTGTCAAGGAGCCACCATTTGAAGAATAAATGAAATAAAAATATATTGAAAGTCTTGACTACAAATCTTAATCAATTTTCAAACTTCAGTATAGAAATTAAGATTTTACCACACAATTACTGAATTTTACAAATAATAAAAATTTTCGTTTGGAATAATGATGATCTTTCTACTATTATATATCCATAATAGTTTTCTAAAAGTAATAATTCACTACTACAAGAGTTCTGATGGGATTATCACAAATAAATATGATAAAAGTCGATTTGTATAAAAATCAAAAACAGATTTTGTTGTTTTTCTGGAGAATTTTAAAAAAATGTTAATTGCACAAATGAGTCCATTCAATTGAAAATAGAAGATCTTGAGTAAGAAAATTTCGTGGTAAAAATAAAGAAGAAAGAAAACAAAAAAAAATATCAAGAAAAAAATTAGATTAATCTATTTTTGGATGAAAGACATCTTGTGTCAGATTTTCTTTTAAGATAGCAGAAGAAGATTGCCTTGGACAATACCAAATTTCGTGAAGATATCTAATAAAAAAGATATCAAATAAAAAAGTTTTTCATACAAGAATTTAATTGCTATATGGCAGCTATTTTCTATAGTCGTCCGATATCGGTTCCGACAAATGAGCAGCTTCTTGGCGAGAATAGGATATGTGAAAAGGTTTGGTGTGGTTTGCGCGCCGGTGGAATCATACCATAGATAATAGACCATATTACTTCAAAAATGATGACGGTGAGAATGTAACCGTAAATGACGACCGTATCGCGCCGTGATAACCGACTTTTTGATGCCTGAAATTGAAGCTCGTCATCTCGGTGACATTTGGTTTCAACAAGACGGCGCCACAAACTTGGTGGAAAACTTATTATAAACTGTTTAGGGTATAAAAATTATTATAATAAAGGTAAACATAATATAAATAATAAAAGACGTGTGTTTTCTTCTGGATATATTATATTAGAAATGAAAATAAAAATAGTAATTTTACAAAAACAAATTTCAATCAAAGATCATATTTAAATATGATTACAATTCATGTTTAATGTAATGTGTTTTTTTTTCACCCATATTTAGTCGCTGTAATTTAACAATAAAAATACATACAATGTTTTTATATGCCTGCTTTATTATTTTTATTTGAATGACAATAAAATATTAGTTTCATATTTTGGCTTTACAGAAATCTTATATCTGGCCCAGTTAATTGGTTGTTCTTAACTTTCTGTCGAATTGCTTTTACTTGTACATACATACATATGTATGTACCATATATTATGTAATATTTTGTCGTCGACGGCGCATAGGCTGCTAAATAGCAAATTTAGCTTGCTTTATGTTTCGACGTACGGTATTTATGTTTTATATGTATTACATTCAATTCAATACAATTCAATTAGATAATTTGCTTTCGTTTTGTTTGGTAACTTGATTGCAGCACTAAAAAGAAATGGTCGAGCAAAAAGTGTAACAATTTAATACGCTTTTCATTTTAAATACCAACTCATGTCATACCGCGATCGATCACCGATTATTGAAGAATCTACTACATCGAATCATTTCATCATTCACATTTCGTATTTCGCTCTCTCACAAACACCTGCATGCAAATTTATTCAAACTCTTATTGTGTGTGTGTGTGTATGTGTGGGTTGCATGGAGATAAATACGCACGTGTGTTTGTGTGTTCTTTTATTATACTATTTGGAATGAATTTAAATGAAAAAAAAAAATAATAATAATAAAAGTACTTGACATTGCTGACTTCGGGGCGTAACATTGTAGTCTCACAGACCCACTAAAAGTTTTTCTTTTTTATATATTGGCATATGCCGCAAAAGCCTATTTGCAATTTCTGAGAGAGACAAAAAAAAAATTACAAAATTATAATAAAAATACACAAAAAAAAAATTATAGCGTGATTTTCATTTTAAATTTCGTACATTTTCAATTATTATTATATTTTTCAAATAGTGCGACACAAACGCGCAACGGTAACTACTACTCTTTAAAAACAAAATGCGATAAACATTGAAATAAAAAATGGTAATTTTTTTTTTGTAAAAATGGAATTTGTGCAGCAGAGCTCACTCACATTCAAATTTCATACTCAAAGAATGATTTGCGCTTATTTAAATATTAATTGTATACAATCATTCACAATGACTCTGCCAATTATTTTTTATATATGTATTTACTGATGTATAAAAAAAGTGTATTGCGAATACAAGTTATTTACGGAGATACATACATCCATATATTCGTATTATCTTTGCCAGTGTTTGAATGTACCTTTTTACATATTTATGTCGGCCTCTTTTCAGTATGCACAAATATCGTATGTAATGCAAAAGGCTAATTCATGTACATACATAAACATATGTGGCACATATTCATGTACATATGTATATATATGACGAAAAGTTACATATAATAAATCTTAATGGTACGAACAACAATAAACACTTTATACACACTTCAGTCTCGTGTGCACAAATACATTCGCACCGACTTTTTATGTTACTTGAACGAAACTTTTTTCATCATTCAAGTTAATATAAAAAAAAAAAAAAATAATTACTAATATTTTATTTATAAGAAAATTGAATTTTTCAGACTTTTGAAGCTGCATACTTGTATGCAAATATTTTTAATGCTATGCTCAAAAATATGCACGTTTATGTCTAGCATGGGCAAATATTTCTGTGCTGTTGTGTTGTTTGGTTATTTTTTATATTTTACATACGATATTTTTGTACTTGTAAACTTAATATATTTTAATTTGTTTGGATTTATGTATGTATGTATGTATGTATTTTAGTTAGGTGGGCACATTGCGAATTGCTATTCCGAATTTGCGGAATTCAAAATTAAATAAATTCTCATTTTATGCTAAGAAAATATATAGCATTTTAAAAAAGCCAACAATTTGAAATGAACAAAATTCGTTTACCTGAAGAGAAATGAGATTCAATGAGAGCTAAAAACTATAATGGGCAGTACACAATGTACAAACGAAAAAACTAAAAATAAATAAATAGAAATTTATAGAAAAAAAAATGTAATAAAAAAAAAATATATATATTAAAGAAGTATTAACAGAACAGAACAAAAAAATTAAAAAGAAAATATCTATAAAAAATATTACAACAAAATATTATATAAAAAAAAATTGAAAAAAAAACTAATTATAAACAAAAAAATTATATGTTCTGCAGTTTGTAATTTAATTTAGAATCAATGATATTTTAACGTTTAAAAAAATTAAATATGCAAAAGAAAATGTAGCACATAATTTCAAAAATATTGATTTCTTACAGCGCAATTATCTGCGAGTTTAATAATTCAAATGAATAAATTTGCGGTAAACGAATTCTTCTTCACTTGAACTAAAGCAGAAACCACTTTCTCCCACAACAACCATTCATTCGCTCGGCGAAAATTCACAAATTTCCATTTTTTACATTAACTATTTTGGTATGCATATTTTCAAAACAAACTAAATAAATTACTTACAGTGTGCAAAAACCAATTGTGTTTTAGTATTCAGTTCTAACACTAATGCTTTTCAAAATTTTCAAAGAGGGAACCCTACAGCTCAATAAAAAAAAATATTTGTATTTATGTTTGCATGTGAAATATTTCACACACAAAACGTAAGGTAGGGAAAATCATTTAATGCGTTTAATGAGAAACATTTTTGTTTGTAAAATTAGCAACTTATTTAATGTTTCATTTAGTTCAGCTACAGTTTCGCACAACTGCACTGGCGCAATACGAAAATTCTTTAAAATATGCAATATATATGTATATATATATTTTTTTTTTGTACATATAAACGTTAGTTTTGTAGAGTTTGTGAGTTCATGTAATTTGTTATTTTTAACGTACATATGTACACATGTATATAATATATATATGTATATATAATAAAAAAAAAAGAAAAATATAGTATAGAATGTGCCTCATATCATCCATATAAATATAGTTTTGTTATCATATGTTTTTTTTTTAAGTCTATCACATCACATTTTGTTGTTGGTTTTTGTATGCTAATTTTTATGTTGTCGCTTTGCAGTTGTTACATTCAATTTTTGTTTTTGTTTTTGCCATAATTGCAGCATTTTTCCATAACGCGGCTCTGCCAAAACAAAACAAAAACCAATGCATTTAATAAATACTGTTTTTGAAACAATATTTTTGGTTCAAAAGATTTGTTTTTTTGTCCCCCGATTTAGTTTCTTTGTTACGACCCGTATGACGGGCAATTCCTACATAGTTACCCTGCTAAACAAAGTATTTTTTGTTCACTGCAAAAACAACAGCAAAAAAATCACCTTTTTTTATGTATAAAAATAATTCTTTTGTTTTCTTTTCGATAAACAATGTTAATTTTCCAATTATGTGTTCGAATTACAAGCTACATATGTATGTATGTATAAAAAAAAAAAAGTGAAAAATAAAAACGTTTATTTAATTCAACAATTCTAGTCTGCTTTAACTAAGAGATCTTTAGGTTGAGTACAACAACATAGTTGAACATCATTGAATACTGCTAATATCCAAATTAATGCGATTCGATGAAAAATTCTCTTTCGTTCGTCACAAGTGAATTATGCCATGAAAGCTTATAAACGGCGATTGGCGTTTTGGTTTAGGTACTAACTATATGTTTGTTTGGCCGTTTTTTAATTTTTTTGGTTCTGGTTTGAAGTTCCTGCCCAAAAAGTAACTAGTACCTACATACATATAATGCAATTATTTGCCACGTAAACGAGTTTATCGCTTTTTCATCTTTAACTAACGAAATTGTTCCATACACATATGATGTATTTGCATATGCATACAGTTATACTCGTATGTTTTAGTAAGCCTTATGCTTTGCTACAAAACCATGTGATTGCTTCTGTGTTTAGTACATAGTTACATTTGTTACAACTTTTATATTTATAAAAAAAAAATATATAAATAATAATTAATTGTGAAAAATGCCATTTTCCAGTTGATTTTGTTTTTTAATTTTGCTTTTGTGTCAACAGCAAAGTTGGTAGAAACAATGTGTGAAATTGGTTGGTTGTTTAACCAAATGTCCCAGTTAATTACTACATACATGCATTTCACTATGCTTTTGAGCAACGAGAAATTCATTTGCATATTACTTAACTGCGTTAGCAATTGCTTAAGTATATACATACGTATATATGTATGTGTGTTTGTGCATACATGCTTAATGTATGACTGTAAATGTGTTTTTTTTTTGGGACTTTTTGGTTAGGAATATTCGAATAATTGCATTTTATTTAAGTGAAATACAAAACTATTTCTTATAAATTAACGTTCACGTTTTATGTTTTCGCTTATTTCCTCACATTTACACATATATATGTATATATGTATATATACTTAGCATACATATATATATGGCATTTAAAAAAATATTTATATTTGTTAACTTCTATCCTGCTTTGCACACTTTCAGTTTCTTTTTTGTTTGTTTGTATAATTTGACTTTGGCTTCGATACTAACAACTTTTAGCAGTTACATTTGTTCAGTTTTACTAAAAGTTTATTTTAATACTCTTATTTCTTCTCAATATTAAAATTCGAATACAAAGTCGCTTGCAGACTTTCGTGTTACTTCGGTAGGAATACGAGCAGCAGCAGAATAAAGCACAAAGTGAATGAACTTGCGACAAATTGTATATGCCTTTTTGTACTCCAATATTTGTTTTCAAAATTTTATGAACAAATATTTAATTCGAAGTGACTTTGAAGTAAATGTGGAGCAATACCAACATCTTGTTTGCAATACATTGTATTCAAAAGCTCAAACTATTGCAATTGCTTAAATAAAATCTACTTGAAGTTGAAGTAACCATATTTATATATTTATAGGTATTACTGCTGGAAAATGAGAGAATATTTCTTCATATGTTTCCATAAAGCGTTTACGTGTATTTTTTTGTTACGTATTCCGTTCAGTGTGTCTTTAGAAAAAAGCATGTATTAATGTACATATGTATTACTATATTGTGAAGGAATAGTAATCTTGTCGCATGTTAAAAGGGACTTGCATAACTTTCATAAAATGTGTGTATATATGTTATTTGTTGTGTGCAGTGGCTTTTTAATTAGGGTTAATGTTTGGCAGTGAGTGTGGTAGATTGTGACTCATAAAACAAAATATGCAACGTTAACTATAGAAAATCTTAAATTTGAAAAATTTTAACAACAATAATCTCAAATCCAAAGCATTTTTAAGATTTGTTGTTTGATTTTAGCGATTAAACCGCTTTCATGTACATTTTAATAAAAGTTCTAAAACAGTTGGGTAGAATTATTTTTTTTTTTTAAACACTACCACAAAAGAAATATATACATATGTACCCGATAATTTGACGTTTACTTCTACTACACTGCATATGAATCAAAGCGTCATTGAAATACTGCTCCACACTAAACCCGGACCATGTTAGAGTTAACCAAAAGAAGTCTCGTCTTTGTAGTTAGTCTACATATTTTCAACAGCGTTCACTAACATGCTATTACAAAAAAAAAAAATAAATGAAAAGCTTTTCTGCAGCTTAACAGCTATTCTAACATACGAATATTCTTCCCTATGATTTTGGTTTGTCTCATAAACATACATATTTACATGATCGTCGTTTGTACAAGTATGTTTGCAATTATTTTGATTCAAGTGTAAACTTGTTTTATGTTTGTATGGATGAATGCGGCGCATTTTATGATTCTTTTTTATACGGTTAAAAATTTTTATGAATATGTAACTGGCTAGATTTGGCTGTTGCAATTCAATGTTTTTTTTTTTTGGATAATTAAGTTAAATTAAAATTACATTTGATATATTAATTATATAACGTTAATGCGTGTACTTCAATATTTTGAAGTTATTTGGAAATTGTTTCTCATTAGTAAAGGTTGTCTTTTGTTCGATTAAAAAAAAAAAAAAAAAAATTATGAAATAAATTTAATTATAATTTTGTGGCAAGGGTAGAAGTAAAATGAAATTACAGCGTTACTTTCAATGATACTTGTGTCTGCTGCATGCAAATATCATCTTGGTAATTCTGCAGAATTTTACTTTTATCTCTTGTTCTTATCATGATCTTCCACCGTAATGAGCTGTACCTGAGAAATCTATTCTAAAGTTAGTATAATTCATTTTTAGAAAAACAGTTATAAGAAACTGTTGAAAAAATATTCATTATAAAATAGGATAACAATATATATGTATGTACTTCAATCGATGCAACGCGATATTTCTTGTTCAATACAATTTTATGCATCAAATAACTTATAAACGAATTGAGTTGCATAGCAGATAATTTGCGTAATATCTCTCTTATCTCTTTTGAAGAAATTTTTTGATTAAATTGAAAGTGTGTTATTAGGGGGAACAAAAAGTTTTGTAGGGTCACATATTTGCGTACGAAACTCAGCAAATTTTTTATTTCATTTGATGCCGTTTTAAAAAGTTCAGCGTTTAAATTGTTGTTTCATAGTTACTGACTAATTTCTTTTAGTTGCTCGCTATTTTTTTTTTTTTTTGTAATGTTCTTTCTTTTAGAAACCGGAACTAGGAATTTTGTAGTTACAAAATAATACAGAGAATTCAAAAAATGCACTTTGCAGTATTAGCTACATTTTCAAATGCTTAAAATAATATTTATTACCGCTACACCACAGTGCGGTGTATAAAAGCCAATTCATTTTTTTTCCATATGTTGATAACTAAGAATTCTCTAACATTCTTATACCAAAACAAAAAAAATTCATATGCATTAAAATAATTCATATTTTAAAATTTATGTGAAATTAAATTTTACGGTTTCTATGTAAGATGATAATTATTCACTGCTTATAAGTCATATGTAATTATTCAAGATTAGCCAATTTTGTGGCGTAGCCGTTTACACCGGCTACTCCAATAATAATTCCTTACAATAGAATAATGTTAATGTAATGTTTCTTAAAGCCGTTTTAAGATTATTTTGAAAAATAAAAGTATGTTTCACCGGGAATACTTCCGTTAGTTTTTGTTTACAAATACACGTCTATATGCATGTAGGGACGTACATACATACAATGTCATATGTATTATTTCGCTACACATTCGTTACCATTTTCAATTGTTTCGTTCTTTACAATGTGTTTCTTTTTTTGTTTTTGTTTTCAACTCTCGTTTAAGTGCCCTTTGGCTCATACCGGCTTTATATATTTAATGTATACCTTGAACAGTTACCGTTTATCGATTATTATTATTTATGAATGTTTTTTTTTTTATGTAGTATCAATAAGTAAATATTTGTAAGTAAGTCGATAAAATTGAAGAAATGTATGTATATGTTATATGCTTGCTAAGTGCACTGCTATAATTCATACGTCTGATGCACTTACGCTCTTTGTTGCTGTTGCTGTTGTTGTTGCTGCTGCTGCTGTTGTTGTTGTTGCAATACGTCAGCAGTGGTGGCTGGTGCCACACCGGCGGCAAACTGATGCGGGTGTGCGAAATATTGTGGCAAACCGCCATAAGGATTGGCAGCGGCGGCGGCAGCAGCAGCAGCCAAAACACCACTAGCATCATACATATAAGCAGCCGCAGTATTGGCAGCTGCAGTAGGAGGCGATTGTGCTGGTGCAGCATACAAAGCTGCAGCCGGTGGTGTCGACACATTGCTGGGATACTCACCGCCCAATTGACCACCGGCAGCAGCCACTGCAGCTGCAATATTTGCAGCAACATTTACTTGCTGTTGGTGTTGCTGCTGTTGCTGTTGTTGTATTGTAGCACCATTGATAACACCGTTATGCGGTTGATGCTCCACACCACCACCACCACCAGCGCTGCCATTAGCAGCTACATTCTGCTGTTTATCGTAGTGTTGTTGTTGTTGATTATATTCGCGTTTTTGATATTGCTGAAAACGTGGTACATTACCATTTTGTTGTGGAATGAATTGTTGACTACGTGGCCGATATTGCTGTTGCGGTACGTAAGCATTATTTTGTTGCATATGTGGCGGCATGTAGCTCATCATAGGCCGTGGACCGCCTGCATTAAATGGTGCACGTGGGCGATATGTGCGACCGCCATCGGGATTGTTGTATTGGCCACCAGCGCCGCCACTAACCACACCGGACCGATTATTCCAGTTGCCACCAGCGCCACCACTGCTAACACCGTTATGTGGCTGATACATACTGTTGTTTTGTTGCTGATAGTGATTCTGTTTTGGAGCGTATGCACCGTTAGCGTTGTTACCTGCTTGATAATTTAAGGGATTGCTGCGTTGTTGATGAGTTGGCTGTTGTTGCCAACGTCGATTATTATTTCCGCGGCCATTACCATTACCACCTGATGAGCGTGCCAAATCCAACAATTCTTGAGGTGGCACCTGACCGGCCTCCTCCAATACAGAAATCAAATCGCGCGCCTGCTTGCCATTGTCCGGGGTAAAGAATGTGTATGCAGTTCCCAATTGCTGACAACGACCAGTGCGCCCAATGCGATGAACGTAATTTTCTGAAGAATTCGGGTAATCATAATTGATAACATACTGTAAATCCTCTACATCTAGACCACGAGACGCTACATCAGTGGCAATCAAAATATTCGATTTTCCATTGCGGAAATCTTTTAGCACTGAATCGCGTTCAGGTTGCGACTTGTCGCCGTGTATAGAGGTGGCAGTATAACCTTCGCTGCGGATAATTTGCAAGATTTCTTCGACCTAGAAATTTATACAATTATTATTGGTTGCATATTCTTTTATCCATTAAATGTTGTTATTTTCAGAAAACAAAAGCTTTTAATTTCACAAAAATATAAAGATGTAGTTCGATCATTGCATTTTTTATGTTGATTATATGATTTTAACTTTTTCTTATTCCTGTTGTAAACACACAAAAAAAATAAGTAAACAATTTTCTTTTCATCACTTACCTTGATTTTAGTTTCGACAAAAATAATTATCTTGTTATTATTGTTTGCAGCATTGTTTGTTGTCGGTGCAATTTCTTGCAGTAATTTGACAATGCGCTGAGGTTTCTCCATTTCTTGACATATTTCAACCATTTGACGTATATTGTGATTAGCCGAAAGGTTCATTGAACCAATATTGATGGAAATGTAATCCTTTAGGAAATCTCCGGCAAGTGCCTGTACTTCTTTGGGCCAAGTTGCAGACCACATTACTACTTGTCGATCAGGACGAATTTGTTCTATTATTTTACGGATTTGTGGTTCGAAACCCATATCAAGCATACGATCGGCTTCATCCAATACCAAATAGGTGCAACGTTGCAAATTTGTGTTACGATTTTCCAAGAAATCTATCAGTCGTCCCGGAGTTGCAATAATGACTTCCACGCCTCTTTCTAAATCACGTGCTTGAGGTACTTTTGATGAGCCACCAAAAATACAGGTATGGCGGATCTCTGGCTTAGACAAGTGTCCGTAATCACGTACAACGGATTGAATTTGTTGGGCTAATTCACGTGTTGGTGCTAAAACGAGAGCTATAGGTCCTTCTCCACGTTGCAGTGGTGGTTGATTCGCAATATGCACCATTGCTGGCAACATGTATGCCAAAGTTTTACCAGAGCCCGTTTGCGCGATGCCAACCAAGTCACGGCCACTGAGCGCAATCGGCCATCCTTGTGCTTGAATAGCAGTAGGCTTTGTAAAGCCTTGACGCTTCATTTCTTCTATAGTATACTCTGGTAGCGAACACTCCTCAAACGTTGACACTGGATGTGGAATACCATTACCGGATACAGTGATTTCTAATTCATTTCGCAATTCGACGATTTGTTGTTCACTCATGTTCAGTGTGTTTTGATGTGGTACATAGAAATTTTTTTTGAAAGGTTGTAGGTTCTCCCAGCGTGGTATTTGTAAATTACGTCCAGGATTTTTTGCCTTTTCACGTTGTATTTCAGCTCTCTCTTCTTTGCTCAATAATCCCAAATTAATACCGCCATGATATCCGCCATTGTTTGGTTGGTAACCACCATTGGGTTTCTGATGACGAGGTACGAAATTTGGATTTTTACCACGAGCTTGGAAACCACCTGGATTACTAACGCCGTTCCCGTAAAAGCTAGGGCCACCACTTGTCATCATTGAATTAGAATTATTACCGCCACGGTAGGTGCTTTGGGCACCACCATATAACCCCGATCCGCCGCCATAGGGCATACCGGCATTGCTGCCATTATTCATGGTGTTTCGCTGATAATGTGGACGTTCAGGACGTGGGCCAGCCCCTGCCCCACCACCACTATAAAAACCATTTGAGTTAGCATGTGGGCTGCCGCCATTCACTGCATAGCCACCTGCGTACATTTTATTTACTTTTCTGGCAAAGTTTCGTCGAAAAGTGGGTTTATCTTTTACGTCCTTTTTTCTTCAACTAATTGACTTCTATTATTCTAGAATAAAAGTCGTATTTTCCACGTTGCTTCTATTATTTGAAAGAAACGAACGAAACGAAACATGAGAATTAGAATTTTTTAGTATATACATTTAGTGACGTTCGAGTGACATTTTAAAAAAGGTAGGCATGGTTACTTGTGTCAGTTTTTAATTTGAAGCATGGATCAGCGCAGTCGACAAAAACTTTTATTGACACATAAAAATTCAAACATTAATACATTTTTTTGATAGGCATGTGTACGAGTATGTATATTTTTCATTATGTAAATATTGGATATAATACATTGTATGACTCTGTTCTTTTTACTAATCATGCTGTAGTGGAGTCGTAAAGAAAACCACATGGTTGCCGTTCGTCAGATGGCAAGGGGGTCGACTTTAAGTACATATGTATCTAACTACAACTATGTACATACACATACAATTTTTTTATACGTATCAACTTCGTAAAGGTACGCTTGCCGTCGTTGAGAAAATCAATAGTGCCTCGTTTTTCGTGGCAAAGGGAGAAAGCGCTTACTTAATAAAAACAATAAATAGGATGCGATTTGAGTCCTACTTATATACAAGTAATTTGAATGGTTGACTTACCTAACTTTGTAGTTGAACACTATTTCACTGAAATAGTTCAATTTATAATTTCCGCTTCGATGCGAAGTTCTTTATTACAGTTCTATTGTAATAAAACTATTCCAACTTTTTCGCAATCAATTAAAGCGGATGTAAAAATTATTCTGCTTTAGTTTTTTGTCTGGCCGGATATCGCTACGGTTCTTACAGCAGTCAATGGTTATATTTTTCCTTTGAATACTTGAGAAGCCCGAAGAAAATTCAGATTTTTCACTAATTTTTCCCTTCACTTTGCTGCTTTGTTCGTCTACTGCGTATTTCACTTATTGTTACGAAAAAAGTAAATATTTTACGTTTTTCGAAGCATTAGTTAAATTTTCTGTTATACAATAAAGGTAAAATACTATTATTTTATTGTATTTTATTTTAACTAATTTAAATGTGCAGGAATAAGCGAAAACGACGTGATGGCAATTGAACGAGCAATTACCAAACTGTGACAAACGAATGAAGAAAACCCGAACGAAGCAGCGAATATGATGGCGGTTGTGCGGGAAATTTTTTTGATGCAGCTTGCAAATGGCGTCTGCAGACGGGGTGATTCATGCGAAATAAGAAAATTTTGTAACAATTTTCAATTTCTGGAATTGAATATTCTAAAAAACTTTTTAAACAATTTAAAATTTATATATGTACATATGTGTTTTGATTTACAAAAACATAAAGGTTTTTATTGTGGGCAGAGTTGATTTTAAAATAAAGGAAAAGCTCTTAAAATTAAGGAAAAGTTTAAAAAAAAAATTGAAATTGTAAACTTGTTATCCGATCTTTCAAGCTCAAAATTTGTTTTACCTTAAAACATAGATTTAAATTGTCATAAGATAATACCTTAGAATATAATAACTTAAACAAAAGTTCTACAATTTTTAACTATCTAAAAATACAACACTATGCTAGATAATTTTTAAAGGGATATTTGAATACAGAATGTATTCAATATTTCTTTTTTTTACAAAACTTGTCAATAATAAAAACAAATCAGCTTTTTAAGCTATATGAACTTTAAAGTAAAATGACTACTAGTTCATATCAATCTTAATGAGAACTTGTTTAAGCATTCATCAAAATGGACATAAGCAAAGAAACACCTTTAATTTTGACGTCAAATAACCACCATGGAAGGTCAATTGTCGAAAAAACCGATAAAATAATAGAAATTGTCGGCTGTTGGGAACCATTTAAATATGCCTTGGTATAAAAAAACAAAGATGTATGGATGATAAACGTTAAGGCAAAAAAGACTCATCAACCCAATTTCCATCTGCAATGTTATTGATCGGTAATAATTTCATTATTGGTGATGAAAAATGGGTCACATCCGACAATATCAAACGAAAACAGGCAAATTCAAATCTCGGTGAACCGGCGCAAATGCTGGCCCACTCAGAATAGACGGTCAGGAAGGTTTTGCTATGTGTTTGGTGTGCGGTTTGAAGGGAACCATCTACTATGAGCTGTGGTCTACGGTAAAACTTTTAATTATGAAACTTCCTTTAGAATAATTTCATGTATAGTTATAGTACGTCTATACATGTTCATATTATTTGTATTCATTCAAATCAACGTAACATCTTATATATATATGCATATACCTACATTATATACCCCGTTATACTGCGTACAATTTGGTACATTTAACAACATTAAACTAATAATATTTAGTATTTTAAGCTTGGGTTTCATTTGTCGGTGAAGGTTCTTTCAACTTGATTTTGCTGTCGAATTTTTCAAACTCTTTTTCTGCGAACTTATCCACTTTATCAGAAACTTGCTCAACTGATACTACTTCGGGTATGTAGAATTGCAACATATTTTGTACCCCATTTTTAAGTGTAACAATAGAGCTTGGACAGGAAGAACATGAACCTTGCATCTTCAACTTAACTACACCATCTTCATAACCCATATATATAATATCTCCACCATCTTCTTGCACAGTGGGTCTGATACGACTGTCAAGAAGTTCTTTAATCATCATAACCACATCGTCGTCGTCATCTTCGATTTGCGTATCTGAATTTGGTTTAGCTTCGTTCAGTATTGGTAGACCGCTGGCAAAAAAGTCCATTATTATAGCAAAAACTTCTGGCTTAATAATAGCCCAATCCGTTTCTTCTTCTTTAGATATTGTTATGAAATCGGCACCGAAGAATACAGCACGCACCCCATCGATACGAAAGAGAAGCTTCGCTATTATGCAGAATAATGATTATTTGGTTTACATAATAATATAAAAAAATTACCTAAGGGACTACAATACGCTGAGGATACACTGGGAAAGTCGTATGTATTACCTTTTCCTAGTACGTCAGTGCCGGGCAAAAATTTTAGACTGTCCGGGTTAGGTGTGTCTTGTGTCTGTATAAACATATTGCGGCGATATTGATAAAGTGGAACGGAGGATTTATTATCCAACAGCGCCTTATTTGTAGGAATCGCTCCATAACTTTGAAACGATGTAAAATTTTTCGTTGGAAGAAAGCAACTTGGAATTTATTAAATTTAATATAGTTTCTCAGCATTGTAGCAATGATTTACTCACCTATTAAATAAGCGATTGCTACCGCGTAAACCTCCCACTGAACTACGCAAGGAACGCAAAATCAAACGAGACATTTGTAATTTATTATTACGGACTTCCAAAATCTTTTACATCCACCACAATAGAATCAAAAGCTACGATCAGCTGCTAATGTTATGATTAAAACTATTGCGAATGGTTGCAGTATATCAGCAGAGTTACCAGTGCTAATTTATCCGTTATTGCAGAGTCAATCCATAGGTACTAGCAATAAGATTAGAAAATAAATATATAGTATATATTATAGAATCATAGAGTATAGAATGAGAAGAGACAATATAGAAAAACGTTCAAATGGCCAGTAAATTGTAAACAAAACGTATAAAACTGCTATAGCTATATCATCACCGGTATTTAGATGACGTAATTTTGTTTTTGTAATTCTTGGTCTCATCTTTGCCACAGCTTAAACGGAAAAAAGTAACAATTGCCCCCGATTCTCGTTTCTTTGATCCCAAGTCCCAGATGCTACTTAAATGATGATGCCACACGTTTGAAATGCAGAGATCGGACGAATATGTGCGTTTACGCCAGCCAAATTTGAGTGCGTTTTTTTGGTTTTCATATGGTTTAAAATCGTTCAGTCATTCAATCAAAGAAACTTGGTACTTCAAGAGATCAATGCCACCACTTCTTGTGTATTTGCAATTTCTGCGCGACCAGTGGAAAGCAATTTATAATGAATGCAAAATTATTTCAGCTAATTTAGAGAATGGCAGGGCGGTTTTACCATTAGCAAGGAAAAACAAGAAAAAACGTTAACTTCGGTTGCACCGAAGCAATAATACCCTTGACAAATACAACAGACTCCTTAGAAGAACTTGATTCCGATCGTTCACGGTGTATGACAGTTATATGCTATAGTGATTCTATCTGAATAATTTCTTCCGAGATGCCATTATTGCCTTGGATAAAGATCCGTTCCAAATTTCGTGAAGATATCTCGTTAAATGAAAAAGTTTTCCATGCAAGCACTTGATTCTGATCGTTAATTTTGTATTGCAGCTATATGCTATAGTGGTCCGATATCGACAAATGAGATGTTTCTTGGTGACAAAAGGTGAGGTGTTAACTTTCAGATCGATATCTCAAAAACTGAGTCACTATATCGTATATATACAGACAGACAGATGGACGGACGAACAGACAGACGGACATGGCTAAATCGACTTAGCTCATTATATTGATCATTTATATATATTGGATCTTCAATTCAATATATTTTATGGGCTTCGACGTTTCCTTGGGGTGTTACAAACCTCGTGGCAAAGTTCATATACACTGTTCAGGGAACGACCTACATGAAGTGCATGCAAATTGCGGTAAAGCAGAAATTGAATTCAAAAGCAATCGTTCTCATTTCTACAAGTATAGCAGTTCCATGATATGAAAAAGATGAACTCAACGCAGCTGCAAAAAAAATTTCAAAAAAGTATTCGGTGTATGTGTCTGATAAGTTGTACAAAGAATTCACCACAAACACGTTTACGATGCATATTTTGAAACCCGTCTTGATCATAGACTTTTCCCAAATATTTGCATCGCTTTGAGAATATTATGCACTTTACCCGTTTCTGTTTCAAGTAGTGAACGTTCGTTTTATTGGCAGGATTTTAGGACTAGTTACACTGTGCTTAGAGGCAAAATTAGTTAGGAAGTTGGATTTCCAGACTATTATCGACGCATTCGCTGCCGGCCAAAGCTCACTTCTGAATTCCAAATAATTGAAGATTGGCGGATTTTAAACTACATGTTCCAAAACTTAACTTGATAGTCAACATATTTCAGAAGAACCGTTTTCCATTAATTAGACCGATAAATAAATGTTTGAAGGAGATGTTTCTGTCTCCCTATTAACTGCTAAGTTTTGCTATTCCTATATTCATGTATTCAGGTATAATCTGAGAAAATATTTTTGACTGAAAGTGTATTGTGAAGCTGATTTAAATATTATTGATTTTCAAAATCGTACCTAAAGCAACTTGTTCCACCACCCAACATCAACAAGAAAGTAAACTTAATATAGATGTGATAAGAGCATAAAACATTATGAATAGTTAATATGCTTTTTAGATGTCAGTCGGTTTGACGCTTGTATAGTACATATGTAGGTATTTATGTACAATAAAATGAAAATGTGATTATAGGAAGTTTAAACACTTTGAGTCAATATTGGTATGCTCTATATTTTATAAACACAGTTGTTTATTTTAGCAAAATTAAATAATAACTATAATAACAAATAAAATTGACATACAAAAATAGTACCCTTTCCTAGGCCACTTGATCTACCTCCGCAGACAATTCGATGTTCTCTTCGCGTATATAAACTCAATTTAAATTTAATTACGTTTACTGCTTCAACGGTTCCGTAATAAGTACAAGAGTATGGAGTATGTATACAATATCAAGTACACGCTTTAATAAATATGGAATTCCATTAATCGGTCTAGGTCTAAGTAATATCGGCTATTTTTGTATTTTAGTATTAATGTCACAATTTATAATAACTCTAAAGTTCACCACAAGTTAATTACAAAAAAAAAAAGAAAAAAAGAAAAAACCCTAACTTCGTTGGCACCGAAACTAGAATACCCTTCACAGATGCATTTCTTATTGCATAAAAGGGTATAACAAGATTCTGACAAATTTTCAGCTTCATGTACAAAATTTTAAATCGATATCTTAATAACTCAGGCTATTCTCTTGGCGTATAAACAGACGGGCGGACTTGGCTAAATCGACATAGCTCGTCATGCTGATCATTTATATATGTAAATATACATTTTAAAGGGCTTCCGGCGTTTCCTTCAGGGAGTTACAAACTTCGTGACAAACTTAATATATTCTGTTTAGGGTATAAAAAGCTCTTCTACAAAACCAGCTTTACAAATAATGGTTACGAATTTCAAAAATTACTTCAACGGCCGGAAGTTATATATAAACTATCAAAAACAATTGTTATTCTTTGAAAGCTACATTGTAATAATATATAAACCAGTATGTTTCGGTTGAAGATCTTAAATTAGTTTTACCTTTCAGTTATTTAATATGGTACACCTTTGTAAGTTCGAAAATGAAACTATTGTATTGGAATATATTCGTGTTGGCGGTGCTGCTTTACTTTGTTAGCATTTCTAATGCTCAACCAGCGACTTCTCCAACTAGTCCAACTTCGCCCACTGCGCCCACTGCGCCCACTTCGCCAACCTCGCCAACCTCGCCCACTTCACCAATTGCAACAAATTCAACACCTTCAACAACAGCACCAACTACAACAACTTCTCCGAGTCTAACGCCCAGTGGTAGCCCACTGGCACCTTCATCATCCGGTAATCTCACACCAGCTCAAAGAAGGAATGCGGCTCGTCGGAGAAGAATTAGAAGAAGACGGATAAGGCGGAATATAGCTCAACGTAGAAGGAGAAGAAACCGCAGGCGGAGGAGACAAGCTCGACGTGCTGAGAGGGTACGCCAAAGGAGACGCCAGAGAAGACAACAAAATCGGTCTAACAGGCTATTAATCGTCCGTTCTTAGATAACAAATTTTTTAACAAATAAATGTTTTTATTTTAGTTTTTAATAAATTCCTAAGTATAACGTTATTGCTGTTTAATTTAATTGAAACCACTTTAATTACTTTATGGCATTTAAAATACTTACACGTATTATTACGTAATAAGTGTAAAATAGTAAAACTACATTTGTCTTTATGTACATCACTAATGTAATTTGAAATATCATAAATTTGTATTTACCAATGTATACTTTATGCCTTTATTAAGGAGTTCGGGGTAATCAGAATTTTCAAAAAAAAACGTTTTTTTTTACATTCTCTTGAAGTGTAATATTTTAAAATAAATAATAAGCAAAGGGTTTCCGGGTTCTGTTCTATTTTTGAAACTGATGCTCAATGTTCGGTAGATTTCAAGGATATGTATACACAATTTTGAAGACATGAAAAAATATTGCCCTGATCGATTTTTTTAATTTAGATTTTTTTTTATAAAAGTAGCTGTTAGTTTTTACCGGAAATCTGGAAAAAAAATTCCTGAGGCCGAAATTTTGTTAATTAAAAAAAAACAACAAAAAAAAAAGCTTTGATCAGAGCACTAGATTATCAATTAATAAAGCTATTTTTTGTCCCTTTGAATTTAAATGAATCTCCAAGGTTTTGTGATGGGTAACGCAACTAGATTTGGTTGGAACTAAATCAACATATGCCATTACTTTCAAAATTATTATTATTATTTTCAAATTTCTGTTAATTGAAGTCGAAACCTTATACGATGCTTGGTTTTTACTTTATAAAATAAAATAATTTGCTTTAAAAAAATATTTAACATTTTATTTCTTTAATGTCTTTTGCTACACCTCACCCTTTGGTAATATCACTACTGCACATCATTGCCTGTGTAGGCAGCATATTATGTAGAAAGACTTTTTCTTGCCACATTTAATTTTTTTTCACATATTAAAAACAAATAAATAAAGTAAGATTATCTTAATAAAACTGTATATTTTTAATTTGTGTTAATAAAAAGTGCACATAAAATATCATTTTTTAATTGCTCACATTTAGTTGTAAATTCTAAAAAGATTAGATTTAAACAATGTGGCAACATTTTGAGAAAATTACATTTTGATTTGACGGATGACGACATAAGATAATAGACAAAAGTTTGCAAAAAAACACACACACTGAATATCAAAATTTTAAAGAAATTTAATTCAGAAGGAAAAATTATAGTTGCTGTTTTTGTTAACATAAAATTTTGACTAAACAACGCATAACCATCAAAAATACAATAAACTTCGTCTGGATTCTTAATATATAAGTGGGACCAGCTTATTGGTGAAACTTCGCTTGCGTTTAAACAGTCAAGTGAGTATAATAATCGTGTATAATAGTCAAAGATAATATTAACAGTCACGTTTTTAACAAATAGTTTTTCGGGCAAGTCAGCTAAAAACAAAAACAATGGTGAAACTATTTGCACTGAGCATTTTTTACAAAGGTTCTGCGGAAGCTCGCCTATTAAAGTCTACGTACGACTTACAGTCATTTTCATTCTTTCAACGCGGCACAGTTCAAGAGTTCATGACGTATGTATTTGTTAATCTTCATATTATATTTACACCAACTAGCCGCTATACAAACGTTTTACTCTCAGTTTTGCATCAAAAACCATTGTGGAGCGTACACAACCCGCCATGCGACAGTCAGTTAAGCAGGAGGCGTATATGTGTCATGTGTACGTACGAGCTGACAATTTAGCTGGTGTATTGATTGCGGATCATGAATATCCGCAGCGCGTTGCTCATACGCTCATCACAAAAATCTTAGATGAGTTTAGTGCGAAAATTAGTGCAGACAGTTGGGAAACGGGGTCTGATGCAACGATTGATTTCAGTACATTGCCTGCTTATTTAGCTAAATATCAGGACCCAAAAGAGGCAGATGCATTGACTAAAATGCAAAACGATTTAGATGAAACTAAGATTATATTAAAGAATACAATTGAAGCAGTGCTTGAGCGTGGCGAGAAGCTAGATGACATGGTAATTAAATCAGAAAATCTTTCTATGCAAAGTAAAGCATTTTACAAAACAGCCAAAAAGACAAATTCATGTTGCAATTTTAGTTAAGTGATTTAGATAAGCTGAAATACATACAAAAAAAAAACGATTTTTCGCGGGAAAAAACTGGATTTTTTTTTATATTTTCTTTGAAAACGTATGTATACTCGTTATGTTTATTCAAACTGTAATTGCTTAGAACGCTGCTTTTTTGTTGAAACAATAATGATAACAGAATGTGTTAAGGTGAAATTAGTTGAAGAGAGACACGAAATTATGTATGCGAAATATAAGAGAAAAGAGCGTAAACTCATAAATTCAACCTATTCCAAATAATTGAGTTTGATTTTTATCAATATATTGTTTTGTTATGAAAAATATGGAGGAAGAAGTTCGAGAAAGCCAAACACTCTTTTGGCGAGTGGCACTGAAAATGTTAAGGATATTGCCCAAACACTGTTTATATACATATGTATTCATATTGCATGTTTTTTTTATAAGATATTTGATGAGATTTTAGGTAACAACATATATCTATAAATAAATTTAAGCAAATGTTAGTATGTATATACTTTTAATTAAATAAAATAGGCGATGACAAGTTCTGCACTGCAAACACATGATTTTTCACAACAGGCTTAAAAATTCCAAAAAGTATTTTATGCAACAAATATGAGTAATGATCCCGAAAAGTTGAGTGAAAATGAGTTCCGAATTGCACAAATTGAGAACAACTATATATTTGACTTTAAGGCCTCGGTAACACACTTGTTCGTATAATATATTGTATACTGGACTGAATTTCTAGTTGATTTAGGAAACATTTTAAACTGCAATTATTGAAGACATGCAATTAATGCATTGAAACATTCGGAGGTACCACAAAAATTATTCAGTACATCTCACAAAGAAGACAAATTGCAGCAAAACTAAACTACCTACTATTGCATGCACATTTTATACAAGTGTAAAATTTATAAAAAGATATATACTTCAATATATTGCTATTGTACCAGTCTTGCACATATTCAGGAAAATAATTGCAAAGTATTTGTTTTACAGCAATAGATGGATGAGTAGTAAGGCATAGCATTAAAAAAAACGTAACGAAATGAATTCTATCAAATTAATAAATAAATGTTTGTAATTTTTGGAAAGTGTATTTGAAGAGACTAGGTTATGCGGATTATTTAAAATTAAAATATGCAATGAAATTATATATTGTTTTGATGTCTAGTGTATGAATTATACGAAAAAAACTGTTGTTGCAATGATTTGCTTAATTTTGTCTAAAAACCATTTCTTATACTTAAAAAGTATCTCTGCAAATTTATATGTAATACTGTTATATATGTACATACATAGGTATACTTTTTGTTTTTATGCCTTAAAAATGTACTAGCATATATTTGTTGTTTCAAAGATATTTTAGTCACAGTTTTGATAAGTAAGTTTACAAATATATATTTGGAAAAATAAATTCTTAGATACATATGTATATACCATACATCTATGTACATACATATATACATATATGATACATTATATAGGTATTTATATACTACACATAAACGAATAACCCAACCGATGAAAATCCAATATGAAATTATTACTATTGTGGCTTGAACTTAATGTTGCAAGTATCGGATATAAACAATACGCAAATACTCGTGTTCCTCTAAATGTTAGTTGGAAAAAAAAAAAAATACATTTAAAATGCATCACAATTTGAATCCCTACTCTGTTATACATATATGTATGTATATGGCATAAAGTAATCAAAATTAGCTACACAATAAATGAGATTAACATTTAAATATGATATTTAAGTACATATTAATAGCAAATATAGAATAATTATTTTAGTTTTTTTTTGTTTATTTTAATTTTTTTTTATTTATTTTAATTTTTTTGTGTTTAATTGCTATACTTTACACTATACTTAAAAATTTTCTTTATTCCATTTTTAATTTTTAACTTCCCGCTAAGAAAATTGAAAATTTTCTAAAAATCGGGAAGATATTGGTTTCACCCCATTTTGCAAAAATCGAGTTCTCAACAGATCTCGACGTTTTGAGGGTCGAAGAAGCTTCCCCGAACATTTCTACGATGATGTCCGTATGTCTGTATGTATGTGTGGATGTATATGTGTGTGTGTGGATGTATGTGACCCTCTTATAACTTTTAAACGGCTCAACCGATTTGAATAAACTAAACGGCATTCCAAAGGGTTTCATTGCACTTGAATTTCGTATGAGTTTGGACCCAATCGGACCAGTAGATTTTGAGAAATCAGAAATTTTCAAACGTCGTTCAAACGACTTGACCGATCGACACCAAAAACTAATCAGTTCTAAACCTTGAAAAAACACATCGTTTGCCGCAAACCGGGTCAAAATCGGTTGATTTACTTGCGAGATATTGAAAACGAAAAATTTCGAAGAGCTCAAACGCAGTGAAAAAAGCGAAATTTGAACGTTAGCGTATGAAATTAGCGGGAAGTTGCAGGGATGGCCCTTGAGGCCAACCGTTTTCCACATTTTTTTATAGTATTTTATACATACAATGCATTTACAATATAACAAATAAATCCAGTTTTAAACATAATACAGGAGGAAGTAAGGTTTTTACGTGTTTTTCGAATTTGTTTAAACAAATGTAATTTCTAAATTTCAAGTCGATTGGAGCAAAAACGAAGTTACTAGTATTTTTATACCTGCCTTACTAACGTTTTACATCAAATTTCAAAACTTTAAAGCGATTTTCAAACTAGTCACGTTTGTTTTCTAAGTCTTTTCTAATAACTTCAAAACTACTGCACCGCTCGTTTTGAAATATTAACATATTTTTTCTTTCCAAGTGTTCCCATAAAGTGAATAATAGAAAATTTCGAAAAAAACCTCCCTGCGATATAATAATTTTGATTTTTTGATTTCAGATGAGCCAGCACCGAGTTAGGAGGGGCACCGCAATTCAACTTTTTTCCTTCTTCAAATGTCATACTACAGCGTATCAGATTGGATTGGTAGATTTTAACTTACTTAAACAAAAAAAACCTAAAAATGGGTCTTGTTTTACACGAATTAATCCTACTTCCCCCTTCAGTGCCTCGTCGATATCGCCATAGGCTAAGCTCCCAATATTTAAAAATTGTTTCAAATGCCCCAAAGCAAAACAAAAAAATGGTTTAATTTCCACTTCGTTGTATAAACTCTACAAAAGTTCAGTTTGACGTTCTCCACACTATTTTCAGCTGTTTATGTGGATACTGCTCCAACTACACAAATACTTACATATGTGCATATACACGTTGGTGCGCAGTTACAAACAAGAATTGACAGTAGTAATTTGGCTTTGCTATATTGTTGACATATTTTGATTTCGTGTAAATATTTACATACAAATGCAGTTTAAATGTGAGATAGTGATATATGGTAAAGTCAATTGAAAAAAGAATGCATTTTTTAAATAATAGCTAAGTACTTTAACTGTTAATATGACTTGCTGAAAGTATTTGCATTTGAGTAAATTAGTGAATACTACTTATATATACATAATTGCAAATTCCGGTACTTTATAACTTCAATCAAACATTAGTTAAGTATTATTGACCTCAATATTAATTAGATGTGTGTAGGTGGTTTTCGACTTTGATTTGAAAAATGTTTACCTAAATTAATACAGTGTGCGTCAAATAAAAAACCTGTTTGCTGTGTGGAAGATATGCCACATAATATAAATTTATTTCTTACCCACATACATACATACATACATACTCGTACAAGTAATTTACAATAATGAACAAAAATTCAGAGTTTGAAAATAATAGGTGAAAACAAAGTGCTTACGCAACTCAATGTGTCCCGCCATCCGGTAGAAGCATGTGAAATGAGGCACAGGGGAAACAGGCAAGACTATGGACCGTTCCCATAACAGTCGGGTCTACGTAACCGGAACGGACCTGGATTTTTTCCGGCCAAGGACTGTCAACTCGACAAAATTCTGTCGCTACAATAACCGGACTATGGACGCAACTGACTTGAGACACGCACTGAACGCCACTCACAGTAGAGCTCTTCTTCCAGGCGTCCTTGAGATGAAACTATTATCTACTGATAACTATTGCAGGTGAATAGCTCGAGTTGACTCGCGAGTCTAGAGCTACGCATGTTCAACTTCGTTCTGGATACTGTAGCAGGTTAACCTCTTATTTATTCGCGATCAACGCGGACATGCCAAATATATGAATATATGTGCTGCATGTAATGAGTCCCCGCATGACCCTAACTACCTCTTTGCTTGCCCTATGAAACCCACTCACCTAATACCTTTCTCCTTATATTCCGACACTGTCAAAACGTCGACGTTTTTTGAGCCTCCCGTTAGATGATTTTGATGACAACTAACTTGCCACCTAAACAGGGTCTGAATAACCGCTACAACAACAACAGGTACAGGGGAACAGATAGACGATTGAACATATTTCGTAATGATTGACGAGACCGTGTATTAAGTTATAAAGAATGCCAGCTTTTGTTTCATAAATAGCATGAACTGATCCCCTTTTTTAAATATCAGTACCAGTCACTTTCCCGAAATCGATTATCTTTTAAATTCTCAATTCATTTCAATTTTGGGGTTTATGGTAATTTTGCCAAACCACCTCGCTGGTCGCTATATGTCTGAACCACCCCCAGGAGTCTATTTGAAGGCGATAATAAAGAAGGGGGGTCAAATTTTATCAAATCGTATACTATGTTTGGTTAGGTTAGATTATGAGATCGATCCTAACAGGAACCTCACTTGTACAGCTGATAACGTTGACGTACCTAAAATTCCTATATAACTGATTATAAGTCCCTCATAAATCAACAAAGCGCTTTGAGCTCATCACAAATTGGTTAAGGCGGCTAATGGCAGCTTCGGCAATGTGTCCTGGTTCGTCGAAGGTGTGACTATCTATATGTTTCAAAAGCAGTTTTGCTAAAGTTCAGATCAGATAGTGTCTAAATACAATTTCAGTAGATTAAACTCCTACTGAATCATCCTAGATACTAACTACTTCTTAGATGCCCCTTAAAACATCGAAATGTGTGTTTAGAGAAAGTGTATATAGGTTTCGAAGATGTGGTCTTGGTCAATGGCTGTGTCATATATGACATTTATGATTTTTAAATTTGTGATTTTGTTTATGCAAAGGCTTAGATAATTAGAAGAAACCATGTCTGAATTTGTCGAATATACTGAGCCAATGTGGCGTGGCATGAATATGCGAGACTTGAAGGTTGACGAAGCATATTTAGTGGTCAAATCTCACTACAACCAACCAGCTTACCTTTACAGTCGATCCGAAGAATGCTACACAGTGAGTAAAAAAAAAATATATATATACATAGCAGTATATATGTATGTAAATATATAAATATGTAAAAATATAAATAAAGCTAAATTGATAAAGCATTTTGTTTTACTCCCAGTGCCCCTTTAGCTTTGTGAAATCTATGCACAACTTTACATTCAAATTAAATGTGGCGCATGGTTGGGAATTTAAAGTGTATGACAAAGAAGTGAATGCGCTGACCGCTAATGAAATGTAAATCTCTTATTTTATTTTATTTTTTTGAAAAAAAAAGAAACCACCACAACTTTCATTCTTTCCTCAGGCAATGCAATGATACGATCTGCAACAGTGTGTGCGAATTGTATGCGTCCACAACAAATTTGCAAGAATTCGGGGTTTACAATTTTACGTTGCATAAAAATGGTAGCTGTGAGCTGATAACAGACAAAGCGGGCGTTAATGCTAATTTATGTATGTAATAAAAATTATTATTCAATATAATACTATACATATATAAGAATATTATATAACCTATTTATCGGTTTATTCTTTAGCGCTCGCTTCGGTATTTCTCCTAGTCACTTTGGTTTTGGCAGCGATACGAATAGCTTGGTGCGCTTGGCGTTCGTATACTTTTAGCCCCGAGGCGGCAGCTGCTGCCGAAATCAATGCTGCAGTTACGCCTGCGCAGCCGAGCAAACGAATGCGCAGTTTGGATGCTTTTAGGGGGTAAAATAAATGAAGCAGTAAAATTTAACTGTTATTTTGTTAACTTTTTCGTATGCACCGTTTTAGCATGGCAATTGTTTTGATGATATTCGTAAATAGTGGTGGCGGTGACTACTGGTGGATCGAACATGCGCCTTGGAATGGTTTACATTTGGCTGATGTTGTCTTTCCCTCATTTTTATGGATTATGGGCGTTTGCATACCGATTTCGATTAAGTCACAAGTGGCGCGAGGCACGCCGAAGGCGAGGATTTGCCGACGCATTATTTGGGTAAGATCTTACTATAGTTTAATGGTAAAAACAGGTATTTATATGTATTTATTTATATTTGAAAACAATTTTAACATATTATCGTTATTACAATTCCACACATTAAAAAAGAAATGTGGCGGTAATTTTTGAACTCGACAAGTCCTTAATCTTTTGGAAATTCCTTTCAAGATTATATTGTTCATAATATGTTAGGTTAGAGACCAACGCACCATAGTTTAATTATACTCGTATATGTGATACATGTTTAAATTATGTAAATCGTTACTTTTCTTAAGATGAGCTCATGAAAGAAGGCTCAAAGTAGTTCAAATATTTTTTAAAAACGCTGGGAGGCTATTTAACGGCTCTTCCTCTTAAACTCTACTACTGATAATTCTAGGACAGACAAAGCCTCTACAATAAAAGGAATTTGAGCAATTAACTTTCGCTCTATAGAGCTACCGATTGAGCTTTCAACGCTAAGACGTGCGTAAAGCTGTTATATAGAACGACAATTGGAGCTGTGTCTATCCACTTAATGGAAGATTTTGCGGAAGGATATTGGTTTGCGGGCTTACAAAATTCAACTCGTGCAAGAATTGAAATCGAACGAACATCAAGCGCGTTACACGTTCGCTGAGTAAGCCCACATTGCCACATTTGGACTGGACGTCGTTAAATTCTGAAAAAGTCCCTGTTTGATGTGCTCTATGGGCAGAGAAAATCATTGATCCAAAATGAAGCTCGTTATAATGTTACATTCAATGGTTTTTGATGTGGTCGATCTTTGGTTCCAACAAGACGGCGCCACATGCCTTACAGCCAACGAAACTATCCATTTATTGAAGAAACTTTTTGGTAAGCGCCCCAAGATCATATGATTTAACACCGCTGGATAATTTTTTGGGACTCGTATACGCAGATAAGTCCGAGAAGATTAACGCCTTGGTGGAGAATATTCGGCGCGTTATTGCTGGCATACGGCCCCGATTGCTGTAAAAACTGTCTTTATATGGTAGCTCCTAGGTTCTTATTGTTATGGATCCACAAATGAACATAGATATTGTCTTCAAAGAACAATTGAGAATTGATGTTTTTTAAGGCGGCCGTGGTGTGGTGCTGATCTCGGATTTCTTTCAACATCCAAACAGTTTTTTTTTAATGGCAATGTCCAAGGACCCTTTATAACTCGGATAAGATCAATATACGTACCGGCCTTAGTATATTAAATTTAAAACACATATATTTAACTTCATTCTAAGTTACGTTACAAGAGTATATTTTTTCTTGTAGCGTTCATTTAAATTATTTGCTATTGGCGTGTGCCTAAACTCCATAAATGGTCCACAAATGTCTAATTTACGCATAATGGGTGTACTGCAACGGTTTGCTGTTGCATATTTAGTCTGTGGGTCGGTTCACACGTTACTCATTCAGAGGGAGTTTGTGATGCCGCAGGTGGGTAGTTTTACCATCAATGTGCGGACATATTAAATTCTTTTTCTTGTAATATTATTGTACTTAGATTGCTTGGAAGCGCGCTTTAAGCGACATTATTTTATTGAGAACTGAATTTTTGGTAATGCTCTCGCTCATTGCTATTTACTTGGGTTTAATTTTCGGACTTGCGGTGCCAAATTGTCCCACGTGAGTTTATGTCAATCATATACAAGCATTTTATATGGTTTACTTTTCTTAAATATTCTACATCATTAGCGGTTATCTGGGTCCTGGCGGCAAGCACTCGAACGCACAATATCCCAACTGTACAGGCGGCGCTAATGGTTATGTGGATCGTTTAATTTTAGGCGATGCGCATATCTATCAGCATCCCACCGCGAAATATATATACGGCGCGCAAGCTTTCGATCCCGAAGGTGTCTTTGGTAGGGAATAATTTGTTATAAAAAGAAATTTATTACTAAAATATTTATATATACTCGCTCAGGCTGCCTTTTAACTGTGGTGCAGGCATTTTTAGGCGTGATCGCCGGCGTTATTATATTGGTTCATACCGGTTGGAGCGCACGCATTAAACGCTGGTTGTATTGGTCGCTTGTCCTGGCTCTGCTTGGTGGCGCCCTTTGCCTTTTCACTGTGGAAGATGGTCCCATACCAATTAATAAAAATCTCTGGTATGTTTGGAAACAACACTTGACGCCTACTAGTAATAATTAACTATTTTTTATTGTAGGTCTCTTTCTTTTGTTTGCGTCACCTCTGCTTTGGCTTTCTTCATACTCAGCATACTCTATTTTGTTATTGACGTTCGTCGCTGGTGGACGGGCTATCCGTTTGTGGAATCTGGCATGAATGCGATTATCATGTATGTGGGTCATACCGTTATGCACAAAATGCTGCCATGGCACTGGCGTATTGGACCGATGAACACCCATTTTGTGCTTTTGCTTGAAGCCACTTGGAATACCTTACTTTGGGTGGCGATCGCACTTTATTTAAATTCGATTAAGTTTTATTATAGTTTATAAGAATGCAAAGCTGAAGGATTTATCAAATATCAAATATCAAATGATAAATATTATGAATTTTATAGAATTATAAATATGTATGTAAATTTTTATTTTATTATATGTATGTATATACTCTTTCATATACTCATTTAAAAGCGAACCATATTTTTTGTTATTATGGGTTATAACACTTTGTTACCTAGACGTTCGACATTCGAGGTGGATACGAGGGCGTGAAATAGTCAATATACCTTGTACTTGAATGTATATGGTATACTTATAAAAATATAAATCCGTATTTCTTCGGAATTGATCGCTGTGACTCGATTTGTAAATTCCTATAGGCTATGTGTCTACATATGTCGTTGTTGGTGTTTGGTGGGAAAGCGCAAGTTAATTGTCATCAAAATCCCCTAACGGAAGGACCAGGAAACAACGATGGGGTCGAACCATACTGCAAAGATTCATTCAACTCTGGTTTCATAGCGCATCCAAAGAGCTGGTTAGTCTTATACGATGCTTTATCGCATGACGGACAAATATTTGGTAAGTCGGGATCGATTTTGGATAAGTGGGAGTTTAACTTGCTACATTATGCAGAGCGAAGTTGCGTAAGCGTCACTCTAGATTCGCGAGATAAGGAGGTCTTGCTGCTATTTGTCAAATTTTGCTTAGTCTTAATTCTAAGCTTTAGAAACGAGTATAACATTTTTAAAGAAATCGGGAATGCTTTTTCCGTAGTAAAGAATCGTATGTCGCTAGAAAGATGGAGATTGTTTTATTTATCCACTGAGTAGCGTTGCAGTTGTTTTCAAATAGCTATGAGTCCGAGGTGTTCTCTGTTCGCAAATTCGCAATATGTATTCGATCTCAAGTAATGTCAATTGTGGTCGTAAGTCGAAGGCGTCTTAAATACTTCTTGGACCGTAAATTCGATGGTGAACAACGCAAACAGGATGATAAACAATTTTGTACTACTAAAATTATGGAATTCATTCATATTTAATAATTTTTTGATAGTTTCAAACTCACGAGAAGGGTGTTGGCTTATGCATGCCTCTTCCTCCGTTGCCAATTTTTCTATGGTATTCTTTACGTCATAAGGTGCCTGCAAATTGGCATTCAGTTCATTTATATTCATTGCTAACATTCAGTTGATTTTCCATTTTTACTTCTTAATATATCTTAGGGTTAGAGTTAAAGTGACAGACGACTGTCATGTATGCTTAGCATACTACATGGAATCGGATAGTTTGAATGTGTTCGGCTATTTGTCAGTCCTGTTGACTTCAGCCAATTTGTACGTGCCATTTTCACTTCCGTCATTTGCTTCTTTTGATTGATTTTGTTCATGTATGTGTAGCTCGACGAATGTCTATGCGAAAATGTTTACTTTTTTCAAAGAAAATCTTTAAGAACAAGTATCTAATATATTTAAGCTTTATCTCTTATAACTTATGACAGAGAGATTTCATGAATCCTACTCGCCATATCTCTACCGCTTAGGAAGCCAGGCGTTGACTTCCTATTGGTCTCATTTCGATTATGATCTCGGATACAAAATTATTCCGAGTTTGAACCCAATTGCCAAGAGTTTTGTAATGTTACCTACGATTGATTGGAAATAGATTGTTCGAGTATCAGTGGCTATACAAGGTCATTGTAGATGTTTTTCTAATCAAGCCGGTTTCCAGGTAATAGCTGTGCATTTTCTGTTTCAAGGATTTGATAAGACACTTCGACACTTGCACACTTAAGCATCACTTACGAATAGCAAAACCTGTTTTATTTCACGAGTCCGTCGGTTTGACTATAAGTTGATCAATGCTTTCTCGTTGGCATTTCCATTAAATATAGATAAGTGAGAATTGAGAAGCATTTTTTAATATATGATAGTTTACTAGCTTTTTTATCGTATTGGCACTTCTAATTACTCAGCTAGTTAAAAATTATTTCCTAAAAATATTAAACTCTATAATTTGATGTTTTCTACTGAAGTTCTGCCATTCAGCTAATAGAAAATGTGCGGCATTCAATAGGGATTGTGGCGTGCATGATTGATTACTTTGCCAGCCTGCAGCTGATTTTCTAAACTTTGCCAATACAACGTGACGGAAAATTTAAATCACTCATCGCGCAAACGCTATGGTTTGGCGCAAAGTTTTTCCTTTGATTTTGGTCCTAAAGCTCGGTCTTACTTCATCTTGCCTTCAGCTATTTTATTTTAAGTTACTGAAGCTCGTAGCGAGTGGCGAATGCGGAGTCTGGGTGGCTCCATTCGAATGTTTTTGTACGGGTATGTGTTTTTGCCTGTCTCGTCTTTTGGAGCACTAAAATCGCGAGGATGTTGCAAGTGTGAAAATTACTTTTGCCATGAAAGTGAATTTGTTGTGCTGTTTGTGAAACCTGTCTTGAATATTGATGACAATGCGTCATCGCCGTCGGCCGTTTGTGCCGTGGATATAGTTGTGGTTTGCAGTGTTTGATTGTCTGCGGGTTGCAGATAGGATTCTGTTATTTTTACAACATGCGTTTGGCATAAGTAAAATATTTTTAGTCTTTACCAAGAAACTATTGACGAAATGCTTGCAACGGTAGTGAATAACTTTAATTTGGTACTTGCTTGATAAAAATCATGCGCTTTTCATTTACTTCATTTACTTAGGTGATTTGGTCCATTAATATTCAATCAAAATATATGTTTGTCCTAGAAATTGCCTACAGAAACTTCAAGGTAAGTATGTTTAAATAAGGATAGTGCCACTTTGTTAACACAATGTAATACTGGACTTAACTACAGATCTCGAACTATACTAATTATGTAACCCGCATTCAAGACCTTTTGATAAAAGAAATTGACTTTCCGAAGCAGATAAAACCGAGTAGCGTCCGTATTTTCAACTGAGTAAAAATACAAAATACTACTATGGTATGGTAGACTAGTGCAGAAACCTTTGAAAATGATAGTAAAAGAAAGAAATACATAGTTAATTGAAACCCATCGAAAACGAAAGATAAAATACAAACATTAAGGAAAAATAATTTATGGGCGATTTAAGGTTAGGAAAAGAATGAGGAGTGGCGTGGTTGAATTTTTTGAAGTTAAAAACGGTTTAGTTGGATTTCTGGCAAAACTACGGGTCCTATGGAATAGAGTTATATGGCAATGTTATAGTTAATGAAAACATCTAAAACTTTTGGGTACAGACTTTTTTTGCATAACCTCAAAATTTATGTGAAAAATTCAAATAACCCAGTTTTTGTTTTTTTATTTTTATCTTATATAAAAAATTTCTTTCTTTTACGAAATTTGATTTAAACTTACCTTCTTATGTCCCAAATACACTTTATTTTGTTAAATTTAAAATATTAGAAATGTGTCATGTATGTATGTAATAGTGTTCTCATTTTCTGAAGCAGAAAATATTCTACTTTACTATTGGTATGGTATACTTAAGTTCGAACTCCTTGCGGTGAGGTGTCATATCAACCAACCAAAAGATGCAGACACAACAATGTCATCCCTGAAAAATTACTTACAACACGGGTTCAGAGAATCTAATTTTAAGTAAATGATGCTACTATATAATACACTTTTTCCGCTAATATGTCAAATGTAACCATACCAACTTTAATTTTTTGCCATGTATTATTAACTTAAAACGTAATAAAAGAAATTGTGGCAAAATTGTAGTAAAATAAACAGATTTTTTTCATTAAATTGCCAACGTCATTCATTCAGATTATTTCTCAAAAACTTATCGATTGTTGCTTTGATTGAATTTATTAAAATTTTATTTACAAACGAAGGCATTTGATTTACACCTTGGAATGATTTTTAATTATTGGCATAACCTATTGTCGAAGGTTATCAATTAATTTGTGGCCAATTTGTGTTGCTGTTGCTGCAAACAGTTTTGTTCTCCAATTAATGGCATAAAGGCACAAAGCTAAACGTAATTGTTATTGGCTGCAATTCAGGGAAAACTGAGAATATTTGAGATAGAGCGCACATACACAAATTTTGAAGGAAGCGTACCAAATGTGAATAGGATTTAATTGTTGAATATGAATACACACAAATTTATATAGGGTCGTTTTTTTTAGAGCTAAGAAATTTCATTATAGCTGTCAAACTAAGGATTGAGGAAAAAACAGTATATTTTGGCAACATACCACACACTATATATACTATTCACCGTTGAGTCACATTTATGGCTTAAGAGTTAGGTAAAGAAGCAAAATTGTCGTGTTTGGAGTACAAAACTGCTAAAAAGACTTACCATAATTACTTGCATTCAGAAAAAATTATTAGCTTGCTTTTTTGATTTCAATCTCTAAGCTAAATGGTCTCAGCTGGTCAGTGCTTTAAGTTATATAGCGCATGAAGCCAGCTCTCAATTGGAACAACTTGATTCACTTTTATTCAATTTATAGCTAGTATTAGGCTTTTAATTGAGCTATTAGATCAAGTAGGTTAACTGCAAATTTTTGCTGAAAAAAGTTGAGATGAATTCGAACAGATAGAATGATCTTCTAAAATGGTAGCCACGAGGCTATATCCTCGAAATTCTAGAACATAACTACAAGTAAATGTCATAAAATTTAAAACCTAATTAGCCAAAACAAATATGTGTTTTTATATACAAAAGTTCTTATTGTCTAAAAATGACCCTATGATATGTGAGCTAACAGTTGCTAGAATATATATTTAAGGCTTATATGTAGTTATTTGGAAATATATATAAATATTTGTACAAATATGACTATGTATACAAATATACTTATATAAATTATGGGTCTACTAACATCGTGCGAATTGTATTTCATCTTGATTGCTTCCAAAGGACCATAGCTTTTGGCCACATTCGTCTTGAATTTATGAAATTCTGAGTATTGAAAATATAAGCTTAATTAATTTATAATTACTACAATTAAATCACAAGAAAATTGAAGAGTAATTAAATTAGTAAAGTATGGCTTGAATATAGCAATAAACTGGTATGTCTTTTCTAGTAATGCTCATTGGAAAATATATCGAAGTTGCGTGGAAGTAGTAAATTTTGATTGTAATTACTTTTTGATTAAAATATTTAGTTTCTGTATTTGATAAAAAAAAAACGTTAAGATTAAGAATAAGAATAATTTATTATTCGCATA